GTCAATTAGGGTCTGTGAATTTAACAGCTCTAACATCATTGATTATGTGGATCATGTTCAGCTAGTTGCAGGTCTTTTGGGCGTGGAATCAGGCCAAGATGCAGTGATTCGAGCATTGCTATACGAGCGCGCAGAGTTGAAAGTGGAACCATATGGCATTACAGTGGCTGAGTTCACAAATCGCATTTCGGAACTAAGGAATAAGCTAGGACACGCAGGTTTGAAAGATGAAGGCCTTGTGGTTCCCAAACAATTGGGTGCTGAGGGAAAAGTCAGCGGCAACATTCTCGCTGGAGACGAGTACTCACTTGCATATGGCAGGACTCCGGAGGAGATACTAAGGATCGTATATGGTAGCGGTAATGAACGTGTACCTGGCGGTTTCTACCCTAAAGGAGCTAACGGCCGGATTGCTAAATCTTATTTGAAAAAGGAATAGGAGCGATTTTTTAATGTGACCGGCACACCACGTGTTATTATATAAATGGTGGGATATGTATGTTAAAAAGTTAATAATTTAAAAAATAAAATTTCTCACCACTTACATAAAGACACGTAGTGTACTACCTGTGTTCCCGTCACAATTAAAAATTTCTCAAGGAATAGGACATGAACAAATAGGACTAGTTTGGTTGCCATCTAGTTTACCTTCTTCAGAATGTTTTTTTTTTTCTTTTTTTTTTTCCCTTTTCTAGACAGAATAAATCATGTTCTTAATTAATTTGATGTAAGGAATTGTTTCACGCTTCATTTTGTTCGCATAAATCCTTCGAGTTTGTTCACATAATATTATATTAACAGAGCAGGGAAAATGCAATAAGAAAACTCTTATAATACGTTGCAGTTTGCATCTGTTGCCAAAATTTTATATTTAGAATTCATGAACATGACACATAAGTGAGCAAATCACACGGATTACATTTTTGAACCCCAAAAAAAAAAAAAAAAAACTAATGAAAAATGCTTGAAAACTTTGAGTTTTAACGATAATAATAAAATAAAAAGTAAAGTGAATAGTACCATGACTGATTTTTTTAATGTAAAAATATGGTTTTTCGTTAAAGTGAATAGTACAGGAAGATTTGAAGTTTGGTCATATCATATTTGTAGGACACACCTGCATCAGTGAGTTTCAACTAACGTAATTAACGTATATGTGTGAAAGGATTTGTTTGTTGCCTAACTATTTAAGGTATGTCGAAGGGAGAAATGAAACATTGTGTACAACTTAAAGGTAGAAGATGATACTCTTAAAACAACTTTACAATACCAATTCTCCTCAAATGATAGAACTAGAATGATAAGTTTTCTTAACGTCTTATCCACCTCTCAATTTCCTCCAAATGAAAAATTGAATATAATGAGTTATCCATTCTAATCCGATTATTGAGACACAATGAAGCGTAATAAACATTACTTGAAAAGAAACTTCTATTTTATCTATTTGACTTCATATTCGTAAAAATCCAAATATTAATACTTGCTAATATTCTATCCAAACGATTTCGATAATTAAAAATATTACCTAATTGAAAAAGTAAATTGTAGAAAAAAATTTAACATGAAATCGTTGCACTCTTAAAGAATAATCCCCGATCATCAGCCACATACACCCAGCATGCATGCAAATAGAGATGTTCTCAATCTCATGAGATTTTTCTTTCTTATTTTTTTTTTTAAATGTGCATTAAACTCATGAGCTCATCAGAATGCTATATAAATTGACCATGTCCATCCCACTGAGACAGACTCAAAACTGTAACAAACATGGCTACATTTGCTTATGCCACCACAGCTACCGCCATTGCCGCCTTCCTCATCCTCCTCCCCCTGTCTTGCTCATCCGAATCGATTTTGGACCACCACCACGACGATGGCTCCTCCTCTGTCACGCAATCGGACGTCGATCTTTTGGAGTTTCCTTTGAATTTAGAGTATCTGGAAGCTGAGTTCTTTTTATATGGTGCTTTCGGGCATGGCTTGGATACAGTTGATCCGAGCTTAACCCTATGAGGTCCAACTCCCGTTGGTGCTAAAAGGGCACATTTGGACCGCTTCAGTAGGGATGTCATCATTCAATTTGGATGGCAAGAAGTTGGACACTTGAGGTTAATCCTCTATTCACTTTTTTTTCTTTCTAATTTATGATCTTCTTGTAACTTTTTCATTTCTCCATGGACTGTTCTGCCAGTTAGATTGGATAAAATAAAAAATAATCAAAGACAATAAATAGGGAGTGCATAGTCGAAAAATAAATATGCGGAAATCATTTATGTTTTACAAATGCTACATAGTTAGAGCGTTTATCTAACAAAATTATATGTTTTTTTTTTTTTTTTTTTTTTTGTGCAGAGCTATTAAGAAAACTGTGAAGGGTTTCCCAAGGCCATTGTTGAATTTAAGTGCAGAATCATTTGCTCATGTGTTTGATTCTGCATTTGGGAGTCCCTTAAATCCACCATTTGACCCTTATGCCAAGTCAATCAACTATCTCCTTGCTTCCTATCTCATTCCTTATGTTGGTCTCACTGGCTATGTTGGTGCAAGCCCTAAGCTCCAAGGTGCTACTTCCAAAAGGGTAAGCTTCAAACACAATACCGAGAATTAAAAGTACTATGTCGTATAATTTTCGTGTTTTCAGACTGTCAATCACAACCGCACATTACGACAAAATCAACATGATTCATCATCCAGATGTATAGTCTTAGAATTTGTCCAAAAAAATAAGTCCGGTGAGAGAACATTACCTCAAAAGCATAACCAAATTTAATCTTTATTGCATAATAATATTGTGAACCTGAATGTGCATGTTGGTCATGTTCAGCTAGTTGCAGGTCTTTTGGGCGTGGAATCAGGCCAAGATGCAGTGATTCGAGCATTGCTATATGAGCACGCGAACCTGATAGTGAAACCGTATGGTATTACAGCGGCTGAGTTCACAAATCGCATTTCAGATCTAAGGAATAAGCTAGGACGCACAGGTTTGAAAGATGAAGGCCTTGTGGTTCACGAATACAGAGGTGCTGAGGGAAAAATCAGCGGTAACATTCTCGCTGGAGACAAGTACTCAGTTGCATATGACAGGACCCCAGAGGATATACTGAGGATCGTATATGGTAGAGGTGATGAACGTGTCACTGGTGGTATCTACCCTAAAGGAGCTGACGGCCGGATTGCTAAATCTTATTTGACAAAGGAATAGAACCTGAACAAATGGGACCAGTTTGGTTGCCATTTAGTTTACCCTGTTAAGGATCTTTTTTCTTTTTCTTTGCTAGACAGAAGAGATCATGTTCTTAAATAATTTGATCCAATGACGTTTCACGCTTCATTTTGTTTGTATAATCGTTTGATTTGTTCACATAATATCAGATTACAAGGGAACTTGGAAAAATAGACCAAAAAGGCCAAATGCAGTAAGAAAATACTCTTACAATATGTTGCACTACTTGCATCTGTTCATCCAAAATTTTCTATTCACAACTCATGAACATGATAAGGAAATAAGTGAGCAAAACACAGGGATTACATTTTCGACCAAAAAAAAGAATGAAACTATGTATATTACTTATATAAAAATACTTGCACATTGCTACAACAAGATCGCAAAGCAAATATGCCATAAGCAAAAGAGGTAAAGATCAGTAACCTGTTGCAGCATTCTGGGCAACATGTTGCATTGGCTTTTGCTCTTAATCTGCCACCATCGGACTTCAGGCAATGCAATAGTTCCGGTGCAGACCGAATACTGCTGCTGCCAGAACCATCTGTACATCAATTTTCCATGGCCTCCAAGGTCCACAACTGCATTAACAGTATGTTCGACTGCTGGAAGCTTGGAACGAATGTATGAACTAACTTAATTAGATATTCACAGGTAACCGGACTTTAATGTGTAAGTATGTCTGTAAGCTAGCTCGGTGCAAAAACATACCATGTACTGATTTTGTGGCAGATCCCATCACTTATCATCTTATCAAGATAAACCAAGGCCTCATGTAAACCTACCCAATTACAAACCCCCCACACAGTACTGGTATAAGCTACTCCATCTGGTTGCCACTCCTTTTCTGCACCAACTCTGTCGAAACTCTAACCTTGCTTGCAATTGGCATATATATCGTGTTATATGTGATGGCATCAGGCTTCGTTCCCCTTACCAGCATCTTTCCGAAGAGCTGCATAGCCTCCTTGGTCATTCCAGCGTGGCAAAAACCATTCAAAATGGTATTGTAAGTTACCAAATTCAGTCCACTCCCTATTTCCTCGATCTCACTAACAATTCCTTAAGCTTCTTCGAATCTGTTAGCTTTGAAGAGACCGTCCAATAACTCATCATACGTTATAAGTTAGGCAAACACCCACGTTTCTCTATACTATCGAGCATCTTGCCAGTCCAATCTACCTTTCCATCGGCGCATAACCCTGTGATAAATGTGTTGCATGTAACTGTATTGGGAGGAAAACCTTCAGCAGACATATCTTCTACAAGATTATGAGCTTGATGAAACGTAAAATTCCTACAAAGAACGTCCAACATGCAGATATACGCTACAACATTAGGACGCCAACCACACGGTTCAACATGTTGTTCCAAGTCTCAGATGCACCTACCAAGACATTTACCGACGAAGCGGAAGCCAGGGCCCGGATAACTCGATTTTCTTTCATGAACTATATGTGTCAATGGATTAGTTCGACCCAAAACTTGAGATAATGAGTGTAATCTGAAAAAAAAGTTTCGTAAGTGGTTGTTAATGGGTGTAATCTGAAGCAAACTTCAAACCCCTAATCAAATGACAGCTAAAAGATCAATTTTTGTGTTCTGGGACGCTCGATATCCAATTAACGTTGAAGAATTTGAAGGCTTTTTATGGTTGGGTTGCCGAGAAGATGACCCCAAAATACAGCCTAGGTGAAGAAGGGGAGGACAGAAATGGGATTTCATGTTCAGTAGGTGGGCAAATTATGAAATTTATAAACGTTCGGGGCGATATTGGAAAATTAATCAAAAGAGGATTGACGGGTCGGACACTCCGACTCGGACTCGGTTTCCTTCAAAGACCCATAAACCCAATTAGGCAAAAACAAAGCTCTCATTCGTTCTGCAAACTGGAAGAGCAGAGCCCTCCGATCGCTCCTCACTGTAAGTTCATCTCTGCAATTTCTTCAATTCCTTTGTGTTGTATTTCAGCGAATTGGATGATAGTTCACAAATTACAGATCTTGTACCACTAGATTTTCGATAATTACACTGAATCTGGAGTTTTGGGGGCAAGGTTTTAATTTTTGTAAATTTTAGTTCCAGAACAGGGGGGTGGGTTTTGAATTCATAGAAGTTCAGGGTAATTGTTTGGAGTTTATGTGATTCTGTTTCTGTTGATGCGTAATTTTCATGGTGTGCGATGTTGGTGGTTGACTTGTTTGTAGTCTGGTTACTTTACTGTGCCTATACTATTGAAAACCCTAGACCTAGAAATCTTCGGGACACTAATGGCTCGTTTACTAATCCGTAACACACTGTGCCTATACTATGAAAACCTTAGTCCAGACCGAAGACATAGCCCAGCCCATCTAATCTCACGAAACCTAGAAATCTTCGGGGCACCGAAAAAACCCAGTTCAGTTTCTGCTGAGTGATCGATATCAAGCGTCTGATTTGGATTTCAGGTGCGAAGATTGGCAATTTACGGGACTTGTTTTAGCTGGTTATGTGCTGTTTATGCATTGAATTCTCGATAGTTTAGTTCATCGTAATTTTGCGAAGCAGCAATGAGTCATCTATGTGATTGTAGAACTTGTACTCTATAGATTTCCCCTCTGGTGGAAATTTCAGATTTGCGGTATGTTTGTGAGTGTAGCGAATGCCTGGGAGTTCCTGAAAGTTTTGTGTATATTTGCTTCCTCCACAGTTTTACCTGTTTAAGTTTGTGTTCTTTTTCCCTATTACGCTATGGTTTGCGTTTTTATGGACTAGCTGCTCTGTTGAACTTGCATTAATTACTTATCCCAATGACATTAGGCTGATGGTTTATACAGAACTGAGGAAAGGTTGGTTCGTTTTTTCTTGTTCTTCAGGAATTAATTCTCAGCTCACAGAAAGAAGAAGGTATGGGTGCATCTGAGAAGAAATCTAGCGAGGCCGCATTTGATGTGCCAACCCTCAACGCTGAAAATTTGCAAAGCAACATGAAAGTTATATATTACAGGTTTGTTTGACAACCTCATGGCTCATCATGAAACCTATTTTATGTCTCCCATGTGTTGTTATGTGGACTTGTTAAGCCTCAAAATGTTGCTTTCTATGTCAATCCTCCAGTAATCGATGATAAATTATCTTGCTAAATGTTGGGAGGGATCACAGTTCCATGTATTAAATTATTAATCATGTCGGTTTCTGTATCATGTCTGGCTAGTGGAACTGTGTGACATAATGACCTTGTGGATGAATCATATGGCATGCGGGAAGATGTCAAACCAAATGATTTGTTATCTACAAAACGTTTTCATGCTAGAAAATACATTTTTTTAACTTTCTGGGTTAATACTTAAATGTCTGCATTTTTCCTTCGTGCAGTCGAACATTTATGTCTATCATCGGTGGGATCATTGCTGGAATTTTGGGATTCACTGGCCTTACTGGATTTATTTGGTATTTTCTTATCATGACCGTCACCTCTGTCGGACTCGTTGCCAAGACAGGGTTTGCAGTTGAATCATATTTTGATAGCTGGACCCAGATTATACTTGATGGCTTTCTGGGCGGGCTTTTATCATTCGTGTTGTTCTGGACATTTGCATATGACATTGTACACATATTCTGAGGGATTATCAGCTACGCCTCGGATGAAAGGTACCCTGTGTTGCTGCTAACTGTTTTCTATTTCAAGAAGGGTCTGAACCCCATGCTGCTTCCTGCAATGTCGTCTTTCGCTGCCCATTTGAAAATGGTCTTTAGTTATTTGTACCAAACGAATGTCGTTGTAGGCTTTTTTTCCGATGATTACTACTTATAGCTAAAAGGCGTAGGCTTGTTGGTGATTTCTGGAGAACTTTTTGTTTTAGGTCATGTTTATGAAAGCTGTTTTTATATTTGGATTTAGTTTTCTGTTAACCAATTTGAATGTTGGACAAAGGCTATTTTGAGGCCGCCTTTGAGCCTTGAGAGTACAGCGGTTAACTTTTCACGGTTGATGAATTCTTTAGGACTAGTGGCTTGTTTGATATTGTATTGGAAGAACGAAAAGCGCTTTTTGCTAATAAAAATGCTTCTTATGTTGGTAAAAGTGCTTCCTACATAAGCAATTTCAAACAGGCCCTAGTTAGTTTGCAGGTGTTTAAAATTTTTAAAACTCCAATATTTAGTATGTATCATACAATATTGTAGGGGAGAGATCGAACATAGGTGCTCGAGTGCAAAAGCGAATGCTCTGTTCAACTCCGAATGCTTCAAATGTTTGCCGCAACTTGAACTCCATAAATTAACGGGAAGGGGGTAAATTGCATTCATAGTTCATATCTACAAAGAAAGTAACAGCCATGGCTCCAAGTATTTTTGCGGTAGCAAACTAGTAAAAACGTCGACATTTGGTAGTATTAAGAATGGCAAAGGTATCCTCCTGGGTTGGAGGTCAAATCAATTCAATTACTCACCCTTCCCTGTACAATTTAGGTCCCGAAATCTAATACTATTACAACGTAGACAAAACAATGAAAAACAGAACTAATACAATGATCTGCATTTTGATTAACAACCCAGGGCTCTGATTAGCAGCCGATGAATTGATATCCCCACCGGGTTACGGATGCAAGAACTCTTGCGGTCGAACGGTATTTTCCCGTGACACAGAAACCTTGAGAAGCAACTGGCCTTGTGTTGTTCTATATCTTTTACATATTTGATTGCTCAAGCCTGTGGAGTTTTTAAGAGTAATAAAATCGCAGTGTGAGATGGGAACCATGTGAGAACTTTTGAAGTAAACAAATGAAGCAGGGAAACACCCGTACTACCATTTTGAACAATGTGAAATGGGCTCGGACTTAATTAACTAACCAATTCGGAGGCATAAAACTTACCAGTATTTGGGGGATTTTGAGGAAGACGAAAGAGATGAGGTATAACCCACATGAAACTGCGGTAGCTGTAACTATGTTGGAGACAAGGCGCTTGTTATCTTTACTAGGTACAAATGCTATTTTCAATGTATTTGTCAGGTCGAAAAGCCTGTAAGAGATCTGCATTATAGCAAAGTTTGAACCATGAGAAATAGAGTATCTTCTTCTGATTACAGCAAATAACGTCATTTACTTACAGCAACGTATATGGCAGAAGTGAGCATGAAGTTCAACATTGGGTAATCCGGGATGATAGAAAGCAACAACTTAGGCTGAGCATCAGGGGTACTTGATCTGCAAAGTCACACAGAAACCAGAGTAAGAAAGGTATCTGCCAACATAGGTATGTACATAATCGGAAATATGTATACAATGCACCACCAGTTCTCACTGACCAAATATTTGCTGACAAAGGGAAAGGGGGGGTACTTGCAAAGCCGGTCTTATTAGTGAAACCTTAAATGTGCTGCAGGAACAATCAAACGCTTACCTTAACCAGACGTGGAATTGCAAGATGTAGGTCTCCAGTGTGATCTTTCCAAGCCATCTGGTAAACCAAAGACAATGTCCCAAGGACAAAAAGAAAAGAAATTTTAAATATAAAAGAACCTTTCGAAATTACAGATAAAGGCGCATTTTCTAACTAAAACTAAAAACTAAAGCTACCATAATGTTTTACAGTTAAACCTAATGCTGTCCAAAACAAATAATACTCTAAAAGGTTGAGATAAAATAGATTAAAAACAGAGGTATCACAAGACAGCCACTCACGCGAAAAGAGTCAAAGAGTAGCTGCGGAATTGCTGTGTGACATTTCGCAAACATATGTAGACCCTGATCAACAAGAACAAGATGCTATATTAGTATATAGAATAACTTACATACAATTCAATTTGTTAAAAGTATTCAAGGAGAGATACCATACGTTATAGGAATCCATGAGGTAAAAGGATGATATTTATTGTAAGTAAGTTTGTCCATCTTGTATATATACTCAAACCATAGGTACCCCACCTGGAAATTCAGACTGTCAGTGATCAATATTTAAGAAGCAGGGATTTTCCTGAATACAACATTATAATACCGTTAAGGCCATCAAAGAAACAGCTGATTTGATCGATGTTTTACGCTTCCATTCTGCTTCCTCCAGTTTCTCCATCCATCTTTCAACCTATAAAGATAAATGCCAATTGGTTAGCTACTGACTCCAAAGAATGACAAAATCTAAACAGATGCTTTCATATTGAGTCCACCAGTCAAGTACGAAAAATTACACCAATGACAAAATTGGACTGGAAAATGGGCGAAATGGACGGGATTTTAATCAAGACTTACAGTTGGATGATAGTAAGCATATATCATTCCAATTATCCATATGTATCGATCAAGGCCCGACCGAAAATGCCATTCATGTAAGAGGGGTAAACCTGGTTTCGCAGGATCTGTGTAGCCTGCAAATTTGTTTAGCAATTTTGGTCAGTGGTCTGCAATGTTTGACATGGTAAATAAAGCTGTACCAGTTACTTACCAAGGAGGAATGTAAATGGCCACCAAAGAAATTCAAACACTCCAGGTATTTCCCACACCAAGATAACAACCAAGAAGCAAGCGGCGATTTTCACACCTATCACTGACCCAATTTCATTGTACTTGTTCATAATACCAAGTGCCCCATAAACCATAAGAGTGAATAGAGTGTGCATCGGACAGATGTAGTACAGCACGTAACTGTTGTTAAGGATAATGCAGCAAAACAGTACCAAGAAATTAAGCCGCCACATCATCTACACAACAAAAAGGAATGAGATGAGTTATATAAATGCTAAACATGGCAAACTCACCCACACAATCTTAGAGATCTAGGAAACCCCCAATACCTGTGCAAATCTTGCTAGGCTGAAATCTTTGCGAACATAATAATAAGAAAAGTTTCCAAATCCAGTCATCCAGACATATGCAGCAATAAATACTCGGATTGCATTATAAATTTCTGTTGCAGCAAAATAGTGGTACAACAAAAATAACACCTGTGACAAAGAGCAAAGAAGAGTTAGACCTCAATGATGATAAGACCGACATGGAAAGCCAGATGACTTGTATTATTAATCGCCATGACAAAAGCATGGTTTGGTAATCATACATAAAGACCTAATGGCTTTTTATATTGGACATCAGTACCAAAAAGTGCACATAAACAAGCATACATCATAAAAGATTACAAAATTACCAACCTGCATCCACCCTTTCCACTCCTCAGTTTGATGCCTATTCAAATACAGTATGGCTTTCCCGGTTAATGGCGACTTCTCATTATGTATCGTGAAAGAAGTCATTGCTGAAACTATGATGAGAAGGAAGTATAGAAATATGAAAAGATCCCGATTGTAACTCTGCACAAACAGATGACATTCAAGAACATAAGGCTCATCACAGAAAGATATTTAAAAAAAAAGTTGAAATAGAGATGAATTTTGGCAGTACTTTCTTTTTATCAAATATTTTGTTGAGAGACACTGCTTCGTTCGAAACCAAACATTGCCGATAATGAAGAGGGACATGTTTAACATAATATAACTAAGTTATCAATGTCACCTTTGTTGATGCATTGAAGAAATCCGTGCGGTCGCATAAGTAGAAGTATGCTAACAGAATACTGAATTCAGATCTGTAAGAGAGACACAAAGAGAGGCAAGGTCATCATTCTGATACATTAAAAAAGGATATACCTTTTATTCAAGCCATGAAAAAATTCACTTACATTGCCTTAAGTGTCAGCCGATTATCAAGCAAGAAAGACGACTCCATCAACATGAACCTAAACACATATAATGACCGTTAGGCGTTAGCACATGGCTTAGCAATCATTAACTAACAACTCGGAGTCCAATGAGTGTCGTTTAGAAACCTGAAAATTGGCGGATATCCAGATGGAGTTCGAGCTTTCGGGGAGGCAGATTGAAGACCTCCTCCCTCCAACAAAACAGCTCTGTCATCCTCTTTAACCGCCTCCTTTTCCACTTCAACCAAATTCACCTCGGAGCACCTACTAATGTTAAAAACCAATCTCACTCAGCACAAATCCGAACGATCTCATTTCGATCACTCACATACGCAAAAAACTACAAAAATTTACACATACATATAAATACAAAGTTTGAGCTTTCGGTAATGTTATGCTTAAATGCATAGAAATTAATTGAGCTAAAGCGCAACAATTGTTCAACTCACAATTTGGAAGAAAGTGAATTCTTCTTGTACTCCAAATACTCGGCATAAATCCAAGCTGAGATTATCGGAATAACTCCGAGCAAGAACGAAACCTGCAACCACACGGAACAGAATCATCACTATCTTTCAACAAAAATCACCACTTTATACCAGAATCAGTGACAAAATTACACAAATTCAAGAAGCAAGGGCTTGAATTCGAGCAAGATCTGGAAGAAAACAGTAGAAGCTGAGAAAATGAGTACCTGGCCGGCAGTTACAGGGCTAAAGATCATCATCTTTGGAAGGCCGCGGATCGGACGGAGATGAGAGATCAATGAGCAAGCATTTCACAGATCGGATTCGATCAGCCGCTGAAATCTGAGGAAGCAAATGCAATCTCTGCGTTGTAATATACGCTGCGATCCAGAGTATTCAATTTAGAGAGAGAGAGAGAGAGAGAGAGAGAGAGAGAGAGAGAGAGAGCGTCGGAGGGAAGAAGAAGGTGAAAAACGACTGAGGAATAGAGACGCAGTGAGAGAGAGAGAGAGACGGTGCGAGTTAATGAGTGACAACTGACAACCATACATGCTTACAATTGTTTTCTCCTATTTTTCCTTTTTCTTTTGTGATAGCACCATTTCTTCTAACTACTAAATGGTTGCATTCATTAAATTTGTGCCCTTCGTTTTTTATGGGGCGTTGGATTTGGATCCGACGGTGTGGATGTGGATTTGCGGGTCTCACTTCTGATTTTTCATCAATTCTGCCTAAACGTCCAAGTAGACCGGATTAGACCAAATACAACATTATACAGAAAGAGATTGGAGCGTCCATGTTCATTGTTGCAATATCATATGAGAGATGAAAATTCTTAAAACAATTATGACATGAAAAAAATTATATTTTTATAGGAACATTATAGAAAGATATCGTGGTAGCAAATCATATCACAAAACACTGTTTAGTAGTAGATTTAACAAACTCGATCCCCTCACCTCCAGTTTTCCATTAGGGTACTGCCAGATCGACCTCACATTGAACAAACTTGCCTAAAGGGAGGCATGACGACTCATATTGAATTTCTATAATTACTGCAAACTACAAAGACAATTAAATTTGGTTTCCCATTGTACAGAACGAGCTAAGGGTGATTTTCAGACGAATGAGATTAAAAACTAGATTTTCAATTTTCATTCCAAGTTCAAATCATATCACATTTTTCAAACTCACCGTTAATTTCCCTTTTTGTGTTGGTTGTCTTATTTATGTATTCGATTTTGAATAGAGAGAGAGAGAGAGAGAGAGAGAGAGAGAGAGAGAGAGAGAGAGAGAGGGGGAGATGCAACACCAAACTTGTACCATCCAATCTTGCAATTTGGGTAATATCCACAAAATTCTTATTTAGTACGAGGATGACACTTGATTCAAGTAAATGGAACCATGACGCTTATAATAATGAGAGTTTTAACGAAAAACTTACGATACTGTTTATTTTAACGAAAAATCATATTTTTACACTAAAATGTCAAAGCTAGTACTATTCACTTTACCTTTTATTTTGTCTTTATCATTAAAACTCAAAATTTTCAAACTATTTTCATTAATTTTTCTTATAATTAAATGTTTCTAATTTTGGGCTCTACCCACCTATCAAACTTTGTCTTATCATTTTTTTATTATATTTTTATTTTTATAGTCTTATCCTATTTCTATATTTTTATAATTTAGAGAAGCAATATGAATTAAAATAATGGTGTTGAAACTCCATATTTTAATACAAATTTGATTGGAGGATCCAAGGACCGACCATCGTCAAGATTCGTTTCCATCCGAGAGAAGTAACTACTAAGCAATGCCATTGCCATTGCCGTCTTGGATATTTTTATCAATTTTCTTTTCCTATTTGTTTTTATTTATTTATTTATTTTTATTTTTAACTTTTCCTATTTTATTTGGTCCCTAATTTTTGTCGGCGGAATTTGAAGAGTTTGCTTTAATCAGAGTTTGGATGATTTTCGTACTGTGCGACGAAATCTTAATAAAAATGATTTTCATTTTTTTTTTTTAACTTTTCACGTATTTTTATTTATTTATAGACATAAAATTAAAGTAATTAAATAAAATCAACAACCATTATTCATATTCTTTAATTTGCTAATATTTCCATTCAAAATATACTAATTGTGTTTTTATTATAAGCCCACGCTATGTCTAATCATAGTTTAAACAACAAAAACTCTTTACTCAACGGATAATTATAAGAGCTGCACAAATCATAACCTGCAAATCTACTCGACTATAAAATTCATGGTAATCATTATGAGAAACTATTTATTAAAAAATATCTTGAATTTTAAAAGCACTTTAAATGCTTCAATCAATTATATGCTTCTTGGTGCTTACTACAATAAGCATTTTGAAATATTTTTAAAAAAATCACTTGCATTTTTTACAAAAAATTCGTGCCGAAAATATTTTCACAAAAAACAATTTTAAAAACACTTACAAACCCTATACCTCCCCGTTTCAACACTCAATCTCATCAATCATCAATACAATTTACAAGGTCATTTGTGCAAAAATTCATATAAATTGATGATAGTTTATTCATTCACAAGCTAAAAATGACGGTCCACCATTACATGTAGAAATAGAATCAACCATCATCGGATTAGACATTGAGATCTACCAACCTTTCAAGTTCCAAGTCTCAACCAACCAAAAGTTCAAGAGTTCAAAAGGGTCCTACCTAATAAACCTGCAACCAACCCTACCAGATAAAAAAACACAAGAAAATATTAAGAAGACTATCAAGCTTAATCAAGTTTCTTAAACTTAAACTTACATTAACTTCTCTAAAACCAACCCCTTTCAAATTGACCGACTCACATCAACTGAGCATTAACCAAATATGAAAAGCTTCTTGTAAACCTACGAAATTTACTCCACCATCATACTACTACACCAACATAAACGGCACCACAGAATTCCGAATTCATCCTATCCTTCTTTCTACAAGCGTGACGATGAGTTTAAGCGTGAGTGAGAGCGAGAGACTGACCCATTTTGTTAATGGTCCGTCCTCTAACCCCTATCGTTTGGAGGGTCTCTCATCGTCCTCTCCTCCATCACCATCGTCGTCATCTGAGTCATCTTTGTCCGATCTCTTTCTCTTTGGGGGAGCCTCCACCTTCCCACCAGCATCATCGCCCTGCTCTTCATCTTCATCAACTCCATTCTCTTCGGGCTCAAAATCGCTCGCATCTTCCTCATCCTCAGCACGACCTACTGGGCGGACGAGGTACTCAGTTCCTAGCTCATCCTGCAGATTTTCAAAAGATGTCAGCAGCAATTGAACCAGCACATACCATAACAAAACAGAAACATACACAATGAACAAATGAGCCGATAACAGAAGCTGCCATTCAAACAATTACAATAAACGAGCAACTACGACAGTCAGCATAAACATAGCTGGTAGCCAGACAGATCCGTTAGGCTTGTCGCTGTCAAATTCCGACAACGGGTAACTACAGAAGTAGACATAATTTGTGAACGAAGGACGGTAATCTCAAACGGCTTTAGGCCGAAAATCTTTTCGATTTAAAAGCAACACTAGCCACAGCGACAACAAAAACATATAAAAATAGCCAAATTTACACAAGGGTAAAAAGGAAAAGCTCTTTGATCTACAGAAAATAAAGGATCAAATCAACAAGCAACAAAGAAACCAAATGAATCTGTACCCAAAAAAAAAAAAAAAAAAGAACAAAATTAATAAAAGGCTTTAAGAATAATTTAAAAAGTTTTATGACAAGCCTAGCAGAGGCAGAGAAATAAAAGCTGCAAGAAAATCTGATGGAGGACTTTTCTCTAAAATTTGGCTAAAAGAGAGATCTTCTCCCTGGAGGAAATAAATATTTAGAAATCTCAAATATAATACAAATTAATAAACTATATAGCCATGCTTCACTGCAAAAACACAGACTAACAGATCGCAGGAAAATATTTGAAATCTAATTAAAATTAAAAAAAAAAAATATATATATATATATATATAGGAAAAAATCAAAAGAAAATTTAAATCCAACTTGAATTTCAAGACCAGGCCGCTAGAAAAATCAGATTAATAATATCAAAAATTATTTCTTCATATAAACACAACAAAAACATATAAAAATACCAGATCTGTTGAATCTAAACCAAAAATAAATAATAAAAAAAGAAAGAAAAAAATCGAAAAATGTAAAGGTTGTGTTTATACCTCTTCCTCAGGCTCGTCATCGTCGTCGTCGTCGTCGTCGTCTCCCTCGCCATCGTCATCGTCGTCACCGCCTTCGTCGTCCTCGTCCTCGTCATCGTCGTCTTCGTCGTCCACCGCGTGAACCGGAGGGCCACCAGACGACTGTACGACCTCCTGAACATCGTCGTCGTCGTCCTCTTCGTCCTCATCGTCGTCCTCTTCGTCCTCATCCGCGTCGTCGTCGTCGTCGTCATCCTCATCGGCGTCCTCCTCCTCCTCGCCTACGCTGTCGTCGGACTCGGACTCGGACTCGGATTGCGACTCGTACAGCTCCAATTGCTCGGCAGTCAAAGGCTTAACTTCGTTTTCCTCCACAACTTCCTCCATAGCCTTCATCTTCTCAAAGCTCACACAAATTTCCAGAGAAAATATGCTCTTTGTATTCTCGAGAAAACGAATTGGGATTGGATTTGGAAGAGGGAGTGAGATAGAGGGAGAGAGGGACGAGAGAGGAGCTGCTTGGTTCGCTCAAGCAGTAGCTCTGCAACCAGCGATCTGAGCCGCTGAAACGCGGGTTGACGCGGATAGGTGACGTGGGGGGAAATCCGACGGTCCTGGTGAGCCAATTTGTATTTCTGCGCTAATAGGGTAACCTGCTGCGGCGCTTCATATTCACTTTTGTAATCAGATGCTTTGTCACGTGCAAGGGATGGCGTAATCTGAGGTCACTAGGGTTAGGGTTTCTCTTCGGGTTCTCCAGATTCTGGGCCCATGTTGTTGGGCTAGGCTCTTGGTCTACTTCGATTATTTTCTAAATCCAGGTTCTCAATTGATGGGATTGGGAACACACCAAAAATTCTGGCCCATCGTTTTCAGTGGGTCATATGCTGTGGAGCCCCCACCTCCTCCTCGCGTTGTCTTTGTTTGTTTTAACTTTTGCTCAAGTATTTTTTTTAGATACGAGATTGAATACTTTGATAAATAAATATATAAAACTTTAACGAAAAATTTTTGATACTGTTTATTTTAACAAAAAATTATATTTTAACATTAAAAAGTCAATCCTAGTACGATTCACTTTACCTTTTATTTTATCATTTTCGTTAAAATTCAAAAATTTTAAACATTTTTCATTAGTTTTCTTAAAAAAAAAAAGAGATTGAATAAATAAATAAATAATTTAAAGTCAATATCAGGAGAAGTGCGTAGAAGATGAAAATGTGTGGATAATTATTTCCTTTTTATTTATATTTTTTGGGTTTTTATAGGTAAACTAGAACAAACATTGTCACTTAGTACTACATTCTAATGGTATTCCTCATTATTTGTAAGTGAGAGATCTTATGTTCGGTTTTTGTTAAAAGCGATTTTGAACCTTATTATTAGTTAAAAGCGAATTTGAACTATATTATTACTAGCTATTGTAAGATTTAATCCACTCTCTTACTTCTTTAATGTAAATAATATCGTTTGATAAAAAAAAACTTAAACAAACGTTACGTCACTTTTTTTTAAAGTGTGGATATACTTTGTAAATATCCAATAAAAATGCCAGAAAAGGCGTGCAGTATATGTTGCGCACTAGAGCATTTTCTCATGTGTACTTTCACCCATCGAAGATCCGTAGACAGTTTAAGGTAAGAATTTTGTTTACAACTTGTTTTCAAGGGGGAGGCGCCTTTTCATTTTTCGTGTCCTTCTATTTCTGTGGTCACGATTAAATCACGTTAAGATTTTATGTTATTATTTATTTTTATCTTATTATCTTTATAAAAAAATTAATATAAAATATTGATGTGGCTTAACCGTGATCATATAAAACAGGAGAACACGAAAAATGGGAGGGCAGAGAATCTTCCTCCTTTCAAGGGATCCAAAGATACAATATGTCCCACGAGCATTAGTCAAAAATAACCTTGACACGTTCGCACTAAACACATGAGTTTAGTGGTATTAAGCTGGCAATATTTTTTTATTTGGTTGCATTTGCGCCACTTGTAATAATCTAAGCGCAGTTTCTGCAACAACCAAAAAATATATATTTATGGAGTCGTACACTTATTATCTATTTGTATTATTTTTTTAATAGAGGTACGGTCTATCAATGTATGTGAATCTCATCTTTATTAAAAAAAAAAGTATAAATAGACGGTAAAAATAGCATTTTAAGCATTAATATGAAGGAAAGCACAAATCTTTAGATGTGGTGGATATTTTGAACCAATGCCAACTAGGGTTGGTTAAGTTAAGGATCATACTGCTATCCTTAACTATTTGAGTATTGCTATCAGCAATCTCTTTTTGTCGGTGATTTATAAAAACCAAAAATGGAGATAAGTCCCCATTTGTAAGTCCTCATAAAAACATAAAATGCGCCTTGATCTTAGAATAGGATAGCCTCTCCTCTCTCTAAACATTCTATCATTAAAATATTTGGAACCAGCTGAATTACAATTCTCTTACGAAATAGTAGACAAATTACTAATGTTATATGTCGGTGACATTTCGTCTTTATTTGGCTGTTCATGTAAAGTCATAAACAGTTTTTAATTGTTAGTTACTTTTTGAGTATTTCAATCAAAGGTCTTCATGCTCTATTGATATTTTGGTTTATTGGTAAACTTTCTTTTGGTTTACAGCTTACTAAACAAAAAAGTCCCTGCGAGGCACGTGTCGGTGTCCTTACCTAACTTGCAAAATCATGGCAAAACTAATTACTAACGTTATATATCGGTGACATTTCGTCTTTATTTGGCTATTCATGAAAAATCATATGTTTATGGTTTGGTTTTTAATTGTTATTTACTTTTTGAGTATTTCAATCAAAGATCTTCATGCTCTATTGACATTTTGGTTTAAGGAAAACTAATGAAAAATGTTTAAAAATTTTGAGTTTTAAGAATAAGGACAAAACAAATGGTAAAGTGAATAGTACCAGGATTAACTTTTTAATGTAAAAATGTGGTTTTTCGTTAAAGTGAACAGTACCGGAAGTTTTTCGTTAAAATTCCCTTTGGTTTATTGGTAAACTTTCTTTTGGTTTACAGCTTACTAAACAAAAAAGTCCCTACGAGGCACATGTCGGTGTCCTTATCTAACTTGCAAAATCATGGCAACTAATTAGTGGGCAAAATCTGGCTTTTTTTGTGGAACATGGCCAAAATTTTAATTGTTGCTTTCTTCATAGCAACATCATACACGACGACAAGAAGACTAACTCGACAATAATTAATAGTGAAGATTTCTGGTTCGGAAATGCTTCTCTGAAAAATATCATCGTTATAAGCGGTTTTGGTTATATCAAAAGATTTTTAGCCAGCAGATTCTAAAACTTAATGAGAGTGATTTATTTAGGAGAAGTTATATTCGTGAAGGAATTTGCATTGTCTTCTGCCATTCAAACCCGATTAGGTCAGAATTTCAAATTCCTCTGCAAGAAAAAGAAAATTCAAAACTATTAAGTATAAAATAAAATAAAAGATTGAGAATGACAGGGTATGGTGTTCAAAGCCTTAGCTACTATAGTAGATAACCTACAAGATGAATCCGGATCCTCTTTGGAGTCTGTTTGTGAGGATCTCGGAGATCATTTTTCTTTATCATATATTATGTAGTCTAAAATCATTTTAAATTATTTTATTTAAAATAAATACAAACAGTACTTAACGAAAACTAACCGTATAATATACAATGAATAAACACGATTCACTGATCATCAAAATTCTCTAAAAGAGAATCCAGAGAATATCGTGTTGGCTATAGGATAGCAACTCATTGCTCAAACTGTATTTTATATAGTATATTATTCTGTTTATTTGGAAAAAAAACATAAATATCACAATTAAGATAGCAATAGAGATGTATACTCACCACCTAAGAGTCAGCAGTCATGGCTCCCGTCATCATCTCAATGTCATGATCCATAACAGTCCAAAGAAACTAGCGTTTCGTTTCGACTGAAGAAGCTGATGACCTTCCCTCTTGCAAGAGCAATTGTCTGCATTCAATGTCTCTCTTCTCATTCGTAGGAACACTTCTTTCACGGGTTATAAATTTAAAATATTTCACTTACATGTAAAGAGAAGTATCGTTTAAAATGTACTATTATTATTAGACGGTAATATTATTCTAACATCAACACTTATTTCACTATTCACGATAAAAATTCAATTCTCTCTTTTGTAATTAAACCCATGCCAATCTTGATGTTTTTTTTTTTCCACATATAAAAATTTGGTGGCTCTTATAGAATTCAGACAATCCGTTTCTTGTGAGTTTTGAAGATGATTTTGGGCTAGAATCAGCGGGGGAGAGAAGAAGAAAGTCATAAAGCCTTGGGGTTAGGTTTAAGGAAGAGGATAATGAAAACGAAACTGTACCATACATAAAAGATGTTGATCGATTGCTCAAACACGACAAAATAATTTTTGTAAGATCGAGAGAATGTTACAAATTGAGACATTTGTGCCCCATTCTATACAAAAATTAAGACTCCACCACTGTTGCATTGTGAGAGCATCTATCATCTCTCATGGATGGCTAGGAACCTTTTCCCACTCTAATTCTTAGAATAAGATGCAAATGAAACCACATTCCCAGACATAATATAAAAGGAGTAGAATCTATGTCACTGTATGTTAAAAGAGAACTTTAACGAAAAGCTTCTAGTACTGTTCATTTTAATGAAAAGCCACATTTTTACACTAAAAAGCAGTGTTCTAAAAAACGCCCTAGGCACTTTGGAACCTAGGCGATTTTGTGCAAAACGGCTGGAAAAATCGAGGTGACTCTAGGTGGCTCTAGGCGGCCTAGGTGGTGCTAGGCGGCTGGGTGGTTTTTTTTTTTTTTTTTGGTGAAATTTGTTTAAAGTCTAAATTCTAATTATACCTTGAAATTTTGTTAATTTTACAGAATAGGTGTGTTGTGTATCAACTTAAATTTCGGGATGCTAAAGATAAATATCGTATATTACTAAATTTCCTTATTTTCCTCTTATTTTCCATTTTATGTTGTTTTAAATTATGAACTTGTTGTACATGTGTCATCCTACAATACTCCTCACTATGGTTATATGGCATATATGCTTAATATGTTTTTAAATTTTGGACTTGTTGGATACTCTTTTTGCATTTTATCATTTTTTTATTATCTTATCCATGGATTTCATACAAGTATAATTTTTTGTAAGTGTCAATATGCACTTATTTACAAAATATACAAGAAATTTACCTAAATCCGCCTAGGCGCTAGCCCGCCGCCCTATTAGCACCTAGCGTTTTTTAGAACTTTGCTAAAAAGTCAATCATAGTACCATTCACTTTACCCTTTAGTTTGTCCTTATTATTAAAGCTTAAAATTTTCAACCCTTTTTCATTACTTTCCTTATGTTAAAATGGAAATATATGTTACCTGACAGTCGTCCCCACATCAAATTCTTAACACCATCCAAATAAATCGTAGCTGGAACACGTGTCAATCATAAATATTACCTAATTAAGCATATAATACAAGACATATCCTACTTAATATTCCAACTTTGTTATGAACATGCTAGAAAGCCCTCTGCCAGAACAAAGAAGTATTTGAGAGAGATCATCTGTTAGTCCATCATGTGCGCAGCAAGGTGGTACTCGGCAGCTTTCAGCTGTCTGGATTTCGAGTTCTCTATGCCGTCATTAGGAATATTCCGGCGGTCGTGGGCCGAAATATTCAACCTGTCGTACTTCACTTCTGGGTGGAGTTTGAACTTGCAGAGCTTCGGGGGGTTCGGCTTCTCAATACTCGATGATGTGCTGTGGACGTTGATAACTGTGGTGGAGTCTTTGGCCTTGGCTTGTATGCTTTGCTTCTTCTTTCTCTTCTGTGGTTGTACCCTTTGATTAATCCATGTTAATTTCTTGATTAGTTCTTATTTATATATATGCAGATATTTAGGTTGTGAATATGTTAGTAAAATTTGTTGAATTTGCAGAGAGATGTTGGGTTCGTTGGCGAAATTAAGTTGATTAATCAATACAATTTTGCGACATTTGATTGAGATAAGTTGATTCTGGAATTTGATTTATGTTAGGAGTGCATTTGTTTGGAATTGATTTTACATTTCTTTGTCCTTCAAATTTTATGGTGTAAATTCTTAATTCATTGCTAATATAAACTTCCTGTAAACTTGTTAGGGTTAGCTCAAGCGATTAGGGAGGGTGAGATAATGTGTTAGGAATGTGATAAGTTAGGTTTGGTACTTGTATTATATTCATATGTAACGTATCACATACTGTTGCAAGTGAATCTCACATCAGATAAAGAAGGGGCATTGCATCTTGCATGCTTATAAGGCGTTGGTTTTATGGTGGAACTTCAATTTTTTTCATTGTATCAAAGTAGGTTGTCCTATGGGTCAAGCTCAATGGTCACATGTGCTTCGCATCATCCGATTTGTGTTGTCCACATAATAAACTTGAAAATTGGACGCATGTGAGGGGACGTGTTGAGAGTAAATTATTTCCCGGCCTTGCTTGTACTTATAAGGAGTTGGGCTACTCCCTATTGCCAATTGATTTTATGGTGGAAACTCAATTTCTTAACGTACCATACCTGTTTCATATTCTTGTTAATTATGTTTTGGTATTATAGAAATTTTGATGCCTATTTCTGTATGTTGCATTGCCTTCTATTGATCTAAGATGGTGTGTTTTCTTTAAAGTTGTAATGCAAACCTCTGTACCAAGCTGCTAGCAAATATCTCACTTATGGTGATAAATATCTCACTTAACACAAAAAAAGCTAAAAAGTTAAAAAAACAGGGGAAGAGTGCTTTTCCCTGTTAATACTTTAGCAGCCTACAAGCAGGAGTAGCACTATGGTCCCTTTTGATTGCCTTAGCTATAGATGGTTGTGCCTCGAGAGAAATTTTGGTAGGGCTACATGACCATAAAGAACTTTGGCATTATTGAAGATCAATTTGAGATCAAGTGAGATAAAATATAAAAAGTTTTAGGGTAGATGACAAAAAATTATCTTAATTATTAGTATCACGACATTTTCATATTTCATTTTTTAAAATTGACAATATCATATCTCATCTTACGAATTTGTACTAATGTTACACCGTCTGTTACTTGGCGTTAAATTGTCAGTTAAATGCTGACGTGACTTGATCCAGATCCTATTTTTTATTAACAAATTAATAAAATATTAAAAAAACTAAAAAAAATCATTTAATATTTTTTAAATATGAAAATAATAAAGAAAAGTTAAAAAACAAAGAACAAAAAATAAAATCTTTCGTTCCCTCCACCCCCTCTCCCCCCCTCTTCTCTCTCCCTATCTTCATCTTCTTCCTGCTTAATCTTCAACCAAAAAAAAAAAAAAAAAAATTTGAAAATTCATCAACCCCAACACCTCCCCTCCCCCGAAGAAGCATCCTCTTCCCTGCTTAATCTTCAACCAATACCCATCAACCCCCAACCCCCCGCTGCCGCCGCCTCCTGAAGAAGAAGAAGCAAAAAAAAAAAAAAAAAAAAAAAACCCCAACCCAATTCGTGCGCCCCCCCCCCCCCAAAAAAAATCTAACCCCTTACAACCCAAAAAGAAGGAGGAGGAAGAAGAAGAAGAAGAAGAAAAACACCTAGATCCCGTTCATCCGGCCGATTCCGCAGCGGGTGGGTGCGGAGGGTGGATGTGAGGGGAAGACGAACTGGGATTTTTTTTTTTTTTTCTAGGTTGTAGGGAGGGGCTCGGGTGGGGGAGAAGAGGGGGTGGGGGGGGATGGGGGAGAAGAGAGAAGGACGCGGGGGGAGGGGGGAAGGGATGAAGTCTTGTTTTTTTTTTTTTTTTTTTTTCCTTCTTTTTTCTGGGTTGCAGCAAGTAGATGGGGGAGGGAAGGGGGAAAGGGATGAAAAGTTTTGTTTTTTGTTTTTTCACTTTTCTTTATTATTTTAATATTTAAAAAATATTAAATTATTTTTTTTAGTTTTTTTAATATTTTATTAATTTATTTTAATAAAAAGTGGGTCTGGATCAAGCCATGTCAGTATTTAAAACTGACAAATTAACGGCCAGGCTAACGAAAGGTATAACATTGGACCAAATTCTAAAGATGAGGTATGACATTGTCAATTTTAAAAAATAAGGTATGAAAGTGTCGTGACACCAATAGTTGAGGTAGTTTTATGTAATTTACCCAAAGTTTTATGTTTTGTGAGATGTGCTTGTAAATTAGCGTCCTAGAAAACACAGCCAAGAAGTAAGATTAAACTTGGATCCAAGCTTCGTGACATCTTCATTCACCATCTTTCAAGGCGTGGTTTGCTAAGCAGTTCTAAGACCACCTCCTCGAGCCATGGTTATGCCAAACACACAAAGTAGAGGAAAAGGACAAAATATTCTCTATAACAACTCAAAATTACCTAACTCGTGGCTGAAGTCTCCAACTTCATTGACTTGTGTAGCAATATCATGTTATTTTGTATGACTTAGGGGTACGTTTGAATTCAATCATCAACGAGCTCTTAGTCTAACGATATTCTATTTTAAAACTAGGTCCTTTAGGATTGTCTTGATCTTGATTGATTTGGGCTTAGCGAAATGGCTCAGGGGGCTTTTGAAACATGAAGTTTGCTTCTCTCTCTTGTTTGTGGTCAGTTTTGCGGCGTGGAAAGCAATTGTAGAGGCCCTGAAAGTGAGGGGAGTTGGAAGGAGATAAGAGGGTGGAGTGGAGTTTGTTTAGTCATTCCCTTCTTAATCATGGTACAAAAATAAACACGACAATTATTCAATTTGTTTTTGAAACGAACAAACGATAAAAATAAACGGTTAAATAGTTGATGGATGTTCTTATGATCGTTGTAAATCTTAACAAGGATAACTGCACTGACACCATGCATTTGCGCGGCCAAGGCTATCGTCACAATATCCAACTCCATTAGCATGATAACCTAAACAATTTTTCACACAGCAATCTTCATCGCACTGCTCATTGCAACGCCCCAAACCATCATTACATCTCTTCTCCTTTTGAGCACCAAGGTTGCAACCTATCCCTTCACATGAACCGACGTTGTCTTGGAGTACTTCTGCATTCACCAACATCACCAATATTGCAACTGCATGCATGCATTGAAAGGTATTAAATTTCTATCGTATATGAGATCTCGGTGATCCGAATACATGAAATATTCAATAGAAATATCAACAAATTATCGAAATTGATAAATTGACAAAAAAAAAATATGATCAAACACACAAAATAATCATTAAGATAAAGATGGTGGGTTCAAATCATTAGTTCAAGTAGGTTGGTCAATGTATACCTGCTGCAAAAACAAGGAGAGTGAACCGAGTGGAAGATGGAAGGGCCATGGCGAAGGATCAAATTCTTGATTCCTAAGATGAATACTATTTTCTAGTTTCAACTTCGATTGAAATATTGATGGAAAATAATGGCTTGTATTAGCAATGTATTTATAGGGTAGGAAGAAAATGAATTAAGGAAGGTGTTTTAAGCAGCATTAAAAAAAAAAAAAAAATTAGTGTACGAGATTGTGCGTTTGAAGATGAAAATAGGCATGAAATAAAATCAGCAGAAAATATTAGCAAATTATAACCAGAATTTATGACAATTTAGAAATTGTAAGAAATCAAATCTTATGAAATTTTTCTGAAAATAAGTCAACCCACTAACCCTAATTCTGCTCGTTTAAATTGTCCGTCTTGTTTTTTGCTCGAATTAAATCCCTGTACTTTGAAAAACTTAAATTGTATCCCAAAAGGAATTAAATATTTTAAAGGATTTTAAAAGTGATAGACTTTATAGGATTTAAGAGGATTAAAGATTCCTACAAAATTCATATGGATTTTAAAGAATTTGAATGGATTGTGGAAGGATTTGAAATCCTAGTGGGGTGAGATTGAATTCTTTTTAATCTTGGTTATATATACTTTTTGCTCTCAAATCCCACAAAATCCACAACTATTGAAATCCTCCCAAATCTTAATTTTTTTAATACACTTTTAGATTTGGATAGATTTAAAAATCCTTTAAAAAATTTTAATTGACTACATGCAAATTTGAATAGATTCTAAAATCCTTTAAAATCTTTTAATATCTTTTAATTGACTACATCTAGATTTGAATGAATTCTAAAATCCTTTAAAATCTTTTAATTGACTACACTAGGATTTTAAAGTCTTTCAAAATCCTCTCAAATTCGAGTTTGACTATACCCCCCTAAGCTTCTACGAATAAGATGTTACATGTTATGCACTGAATATTGTCTAACGAGAATGGTACCCCTCTTATGTTCTCAGGGTATTCTAATCTATAAGAGTAAAGCTGGATTTGAACTTGAGTACACAAGATTAGCACACCGTAACTCTCTACTCTAAAAGATTATTCAATTTAGTCATTCATCAAATAATAAGCTTATATGATTCAAATCAACAAGTCAACCCATTGACAATATAGAAATGTTATAGGATACGAAGTTTCCTGCAGATCCTTTGAAACATTACCCAAGTTAATTGGAGCCCTACTCCATATATATATATATAGGACATGTATTGATCACACAAGAAAAAAAGGGTGCATGGCTCACACTACTAAAAATTGGCTCTAATGAGACTTTTCCTTCAGTCTCTTTTAACCACAAATGAGTCTCTATTAAGTTCAAAAGTTTTTATCACCAATAATTTCTGTGATTAATCAAACTCATTATTTTGGTCTTTCATTTTCAAAATCAATCAATGTCGTCCCTGACATTCACTCCCGCACATCAATTTGGTCATTCCGTTTAGATTTCGTCAATTATTCTGTTAGTTTGTATGTGGGACCCACAAATCCAATAAAATAGTGACACGTGGATTACACAAAAGAAGGTTTTTTTTTTTTTATCGTAAATGGCCCTTGACATTAATCAAACTTCTCATTTTGGTCCCTCAGTTTTAAAAATCAATAAATTTGATCATTGACTTTCACTACCACACATTAGTTTAGTCATTCTAGTTAAATTTCGTCAATATTTTTTGTTAGTGTGCTGATACGGTCCTACTAATCTAATCATATGGTGTCACGCGGATTAACTGTAAGAAACTTTTTTTTTTTAAGATTTAAAACTAAAAGTAAAATAAGAAATTAAAAAACAAAAACTAAAAGAAAAAAAAAGACATCATCGTCTTTATCTGGGTATGCTCAAAAGAAAAGGAAGGCACCATGACCACTAAAGTTGTTGGCCTCCCTGAACACACTTCTCATTTCCTCTAGTTGGTTATAATCCTAACAAATTTGAATTGAATTTGGATTCGATTTTATCGAATTTAGATTGAATTTTTTTTTCAATTGGGATTGTGGGATGCAAGAGAAATGCCAGTGCGGAATACTCGTCAGTTGGTTCACTCTAAAAAAAAAAAAAGTTTCTTATAAGTTAATCTACTTAGCGCCATATGATTAGATTAGTGGGACCACATCAACACACTAACAAAAAATATTGACGAAATTTTAATGGAATGACTCAATTGATGTGTGGTAGTGAAAGTCAGTGACCAAATTTATTGATTTTTGTATCTCAGGAATCAAAATGAGGAGTTTGATCAATGTCAGGGACCATTTGGGATAAAAATCATTCTTTGGTGTAATACACGTGTCACAGTTTTATTGGACTTATGGGTCTCACATACAAACTAACATAATAATTGACAGAATCTAAACAGAATGACCAAATTATGTGTGGTAGTGAATGTCAAAGACGATATTGATTGATTTTGAAAGTGAATGACCAAAATGATGAGTTTGGTCAATCTCATAGACCATTTGTAATAAAAACTATAAATTCAATTGCCACTGTAGACCATTCCTATTAGACTTTTTGGGCAATTTTTATGGGTCAGTCCCTAATACTAGGGTCATCTATTGATAAAAGGGAATTTTAACGAAAAACACATGGTATTGTTCGCTTTAACGAAAAACCACATTTTTACACTAAAAGTCAATCCTGGTACTATTCACTTTACCCTTCATTTTGTTCTTATCGTTAGAACTCAAAATTTTCAAGCTATTTTTATTAGTTTTCCTTTGATAAAATGCTACAGATTCTCTATGAATGTTCCCTTTGAGAAACTGAATCTCACATTCTTCCCATACTTATTCAGTAGACAATACATCCTTTAACAAAAGAGGAATGCTAGTTATACTCTTTATTTGGAGAAATTTTTTAATGTGCCGATACGTCATATGTTGTTGTACAAGCGTGGAAAAGTTTTTCTTATTTTTTATTTTTATTTTTTATCAAGTGTTTCTACACTTATATAATGATATAGGGCATATAGACTCGTGTTTTGGACACAGCAAAAAATCTATCATCCGTTTACCCTTCCTCATTGATCTTTCCCATTCAATTTATGAGACGTGGAATTGACTTACATTTACATATGTATTTAATGTACAGAGAATTTATTCTTCTCTTATCAAATACGCCCCTAATTAATGTTTCAGATTTCAACGATACAATGATTACTTCCCTTTTTTTTTTAAATTACTTTTTAACATTTCTGATTTGTTTTGGATTTTTTTGGTTTAAATAAATCCTGTTCTTGAGATCTTGCTGGAGTTGTCTTCCAATTTTATTTTCTTTTAAATTGTCCTTGCAGTTCTTTTTTCAGATGCATTGTTTTGTTCCCAGACTTTTTTTTCCCAATAAAAGCAATATAAATTGTTTAACTTTGTTTAATTGCATTTTTTGTATAACAATTTGCACAAATTGTTTGACAATCACAAAAGCGATATTTAGGTGCATCTTTTTACTTATTTTATATAAAAGCGTGAGGCTTATAATTATAATGCTTTTTTTTTTATATATATAAATTATAACGCTTGAATATTGATAAACAGTATGCAGTAACCTCCTATATTGTTTCTAGCAGAGGTTAAATTTCTCGGAATATTTCTCAGAAGATGGCAAAACTAAAAGAAAAAAGCGTCAAAAAAAACTTTTACAAAAAAAAGTGGAGAATGATGCCACAGCTCAGTGCTTAAAAACAGAATCTTTTAAAAAAAAATTAAATAAAATTGTTTGGAAAATAAATTTTAATATAAAAGGGGAGTATAATTGCTTGGTTAAAATTTGAAACATTAATCAGGGACATATTGGAAAGAGAAGAATAAAATTCTCTACACATTAAATACATAGATGTAAGTGTAAGTTGATTCCACATGGCATAAATTGAGTGGAGAGAAGAGAGAGGAGAATAAAGTATTTTTCTTTAAGAAATGCGTAAGAGATTCTTTCAAAGTATAACATTTTATACTCTATATAAGCTCACAATTTAACGTTAATTTCTGTGATAATATTATAAAATGATAATGTTAGGAAGAAAAAAATTATTGAACCAAATTTCGTAAACCAAATGATGTGGATGTTGATGGTTGGATTATTACTTAAGCGCTGATTAACGTGCTTATTTTCAAATAAAAACTAATGAAAAATGTTTGAAAATTGTGAGTTTTAACGTTAATGACAAAATAAAGGTAACGTGAATAATACCAAGATTGACGTTTTAGTGTAAAAATGTGGTTTTTAGTTAAAGTGAACAGTACCGGAAGCTTTTCGTTAAAATTCTATATTTTCTATTGGTGACACATAATTTAATTTGCAAATTTGGTTTTCATAGCATTATTCTTATAAAAAAAGAGTAATGCTAGGTACGTAAATTTGTAGGGAAGATGATCCTCTCCAGATCCATTTTGTGGGAATTCTAAGGATCCTCACATACTAGCCGTTTATCGTACATCGTGCGGCCAGTTTTCGTCAAGTACTATTTGTGTTTAATTTTAAATATAAATCATTTAACTTTTTCAGACTACATAACACACGATGAATGACTAAAATATGAGTATCCCTAGAATCCTCACAATTTGGATCTTGATGGGATCCAAATCCAATTTGTAGACTAAATATGCAAACTGAATAATGTATCACCAATAAAAAATAAGCACGTTGATTAACACTTAACGGGATGTCACACAATATCCCAAACCAAAGGCACTGCTATGTCAGAAAAAGTAAATTCCTCTCAAGTAGGATATGTTGAAAAACGTAAGTTTTTAAGGAAAACTAATGAAAAAAGCTTGAAAACTTTGAGTTTTAATAATAAGGACAAAATAAATGGTAAAGTCAATAGTACCAGAATTGACTTTTTAGTGTGAAAATGTAGTTTTTTGTTAAAGTGAAAAGTATCAGGAGTTTTTCGTTAAAATTCCCAAATTTTTATCCTATATTCAACGACAATTTGAGTACTTCTGTTTTCAACCATTTAAAGAAATAGGAATTATAGCTCAACAAATAATTTCCCAGACCAAAAAAGTTAACCAAAGAAGGCATGGTTCATATATATGGTAGCCAAAATCAGTAAGATTTTGGGAGCCTGCTATTTTTCTGTTTTCTGCCAATATTGGCATTGTATCTGTACAAAACAAAATAGCCAAGAAATCTCGCACTCCCTGTATATAAAGGGACTCACGCCTTTGCATTTTATGTGTAGAACTCGTTGATCTCGAGCAAAAGCATCTGCCCGAATTCTCACAAACCCTTTTTCCTGCTCGCAAATATGATGAGTTTCACATCTCAAACATTGATCGTACTTCTCATTCAAGTTGTCCTTCTTCCAATGTTGCTCCACTGCAGGGTTTTCTTCCCAATGGATGAGAATCTCGTCACCCAAACATGCAAGAAAACCAAAGACTCCGCAGCTTGCGAGGCTCTTCTTCGATCAGACAGTCGAAGTCTCGAAGCAAAAGATGCCACGGGCTTAGTCTTCATCGTGATTGATATATCACAGGCTAAGGCAAACCAAGGCCAGAAAAAAATTGAGGAGCTACTTCAGGCCCCAGGAGCGCCAACAGACAAACTAAACTCTTGCAATGAAAACTACCAAAATGTTATAGAAGATATTCAACAGGCCTCTTCAGTCTTAACCAACGGTGATTATCTCGCTGCTCAAGACCGCATACTGGACACCGTCCATGAGGCTGATTTATGCGATGAACAATTTGCAGGGTCCGATAATCCTCTGTCAGGTTACACCAAAGCTATTCATGATACCGGGACTGTAGGTTCACAAATTGCAGGGCAGTTGACTTCATAAGTTTGATAAGAAATGTTGCCGCAGTATTGAGCCGATAATACTTTTTGTCACACATTAATTTCAGCATTTTCTTTCCCGATCAAGGCAATGTTGTTGATGTGAGGTTCAAATTATGATTTCTTTTGTTACAATGTTGAAGGAATCGAACCCTTGAAATAAATAAATTTCTTTATTTTAATATATTTCACCTGTATCGTTAATTTTATATGAAACTGGAAATTCACCAGTACCATTTGAAAATTTTGAAATCCATGAGATAGCACCAATTTGGTTTTCCAAAAGCAGCAGCTTTTGAAGTATGCTATATATGCATTGCATTGTTATGGTAACAAAGATTTACCTACAGAAATAAGATGACATACAAATTCACGTGTTATAATATAAGTGAATTGGTAATATCAAGTAGCGGTGCGACATTTTACCAAAAAACGACTTAGGAAATAGCCAAAATGATCATTTTCCAAATCTCAATTACTGAAATGATTAGTTTTCCAGTACTTCATGGATATCTGATCGCTTTGTCATCAATCTTTTATCATTATACATAGATATTTAATCGTTACATTGTCGATATTTAGTTTTTATCGGTTCAATAGTTGAGATTTGATTTCTGATCATCTTAATTAATTTCCCAAAAAGGGGAAATCTTTCTGTACAAAATCCGGTTGGATTCACTCTTTGTATAAAGTGACAGTCACACCCAGAACTTAATGTGTCTACGCACCATTTAACTTCTCAAACCATTAGTCCTGAAAAGATGAAGAGTTCAACCTCTCTAACACTCATATTTCTCATTCAAATTGTTTGTCTAGTTGTCTTTCTTCCAACAAGCCATTGTCGATCGGTTTTCCTCCCAAGGGATGATGCCAATCTGATCCACCAAACATCCCAACAAACACCAAATTACGATCTCTGCGTCTCTTCTCTTCAACCAGACCCTCGAAGCGCCGACACAGATGTCTAAGGCTTAGGCATCATAATGGTTGATGTAGTTAAGGCTAGGGTAACTGAAACCCTAAACCTAATCAACGAGCTGCTTAAGAAGAGCCCGGGAGCTGAAGCCTTAAGCTCTTGCAACAGAATCTACAATGCAGTTTTAGGAACTGATATCCTAGTAGCCAATCAAGCTTTTGTTAAAGGTGACTATGACTTAGCAGAGCAAGGCATAAATGTTGTTGGCGTCAAGGCAGATGCTTGTGAAAATGGTTTTACCGGCGGCGGTGGCGGTTCTCCTTTGTTAGATATGAACAAAGCCATCCTTGATCTTGTGGCCGTGACAGCAGGAATTGCCAGGACATTGTTTTGATGTATTAATTTTCTGTTGCAATAACGTAAATTAGATAATAATCAAGTTTCTTGTCTTCTAAAAGGAAAAAATAAATTTAAATTTGATTCTAATTTTTTTAAAGGAAAACTAATGAAAATAGTTTGAAAACTTTGAGTTTTAACGATAAGGACAAAATAAAGGGTAAAGTGAATAGTACCAAGATTGAATTTTTAGTGTAAAAATATGGTTTTTCGTTAAAGTGAATAGTACCGTGGCTTTTTGTTAAAACTCTCTTTTTTTAAACGTAACCTTAGTATGAAAGTAAATTTTCAATTAAATTGCAATTAAATATTTTTCCTATAAAGAATAAACTATTTGAAAAGAAAATCACCAAATTAAAAAAATGAATCAGAGCATATATTGATCATATCCCTATATATAATGTGAGTGTATATATATACTCTTATTGTTGACATATTCTTTAGTAAAGATCGGCCGCATTAAGGAGATGATTAATTTGTGTGTTTAAATAGTATAATTAGCAGAAACGATTTGTATGACATTAACAATATAACGCATTTAACCAGAAGTTGACTTTGAACATACACTATAATTTGAATTTGGAAGCTGCTGGTTACCTTTGTCCACTAATTGATTTGTGCTTGATATGCTAGCCTTTGCGAATAGCAGTAGATTTTGTGAGCATCTTAAAGACGGCACATATAGGAAGCATCTCACAAGGCATGGTAAGAATCATGTCGGATTTTCTCATTAAGAAAGTTAATCAAACCAGATTTTTCACCATCCAGACAACAAAGTTTCATACTACTATATAAAGAGACTCATATCTTACCAAATGTTGTACCAATTAATCTGTTTCTCCAGATATCATCTCCAAATCAAGCATCTACCAAAATTTTCTAAACCCTTTTTTCTTGCTGGGAAACATGAAGAATTTAATCCCTCTAGCACTCACTTTTCTCATACAAATTTCCCTTCTTCCGGTAAGCCAATGCAGGCCGGTTTACGTGCCAAATGACGCCACTCTTATTGACCAAACATGCCAAAAAACACCGGATCACAACCTTTGCGTCTCTTCTCTTCGATCAGACCCTCGAAGCTCCAGTGCAGACGTCAAAGGCTTAGGCGTCATAATGGTTGATGTAGTTAAGGGTAAGGCAACGGACACATTGAACCAAATTAATGACCTTCTTAAGCAGAGGCCTGGTGACAAATCATTGAGCTCTTGTGCCGAAGTGTACAACACAGTTATAACAGCTGATGTGCCGGAAGCCAGTCAGGGTTTTAGTTTGGGTAACCCTAAGTTTGCGGAGCAAGGCATGAATGACGCTGCCGGCGAGGCTGTTTCATGTGAAAACGGTTTTTCGGGGAGCTCTCCTCTGACGGATAAAAACAAAGCTGTTCATGATGTTGCGGCTGTGGCTGCTGCAATTGCCAAAACGTTAGAATAGTTTGTTCCTTGATTTTGTTTTGTGTTCATCTATGGTGCCTTGGTAATTAACTCAATAAATCATTACAGTATCTAAAACCTTTTGTGTGATCTAGCTAGCTCATCATTATCATTAACTTTATATGAACATGTTAATAACTTACTACACTCGAATCATTACATATTAATTTGATAACAAAAATTGCATTCCTTGGACTTGCAAATCAACGTTATTGTTAGAATGTGAGCATCCAACTAAAATTCAAGTGGCAACGAGTTGAATGCCCCAACATAGTTGAGGCTCTTATGACTTATGCTAGACTTCCATCCTTCGATGTGGGATGCTCTCAACGCCATTAACTTGGTTTTGTTGTGCCTGACACATGAAAAATACATTAGTTACAACTTAGAACATGCTTTTGAACTGGAGAAATATATGATACTGATGAATAGAGTTTATTAAAGAACGGATTATGTTGCATTACTTGAATTAGTCCAACTACATATGGAACAGACACCAGTTGATTATCAAAGAAATTTGATATGCTATTGATTATTCATTTGATATTATTAAACAAATCGACATGTTATCAATATATTTTTCTGCTTGTTGTTTAGCTTTGTTCCTTATTATTACTATTTCTTTCCATCGAGGCCAAAACTTGAGGAAATTAAAAATGGTGCTAATAACTGAATCATATATATTCCTCCAATTTTCACATTACTTGTACTTGAGCACCAAAGAAGGAGAACAACTTCCTGATCAAGGGTAACAGTATTTCAAGCTAATCGCGTACTGGCGTGTGAAAAAAAGTTACAAAAAAAAGTGCCAATTTGTGATTGACTTTTCGAACTGTCTCAATAGCAGCTTAGGCGTAGGTAAGTTTTTCTTGAAAATAGATGGCAATACCAGAATGACACCAAAATACTAGACATGTGAACCAACACAAATGTAGACGCAATTGGAACTCATAGGCACATGATTACAAAAAGCGCCTACAAGTGGCAATCAATCAATCTGCCAATCGATGAAATTGAAACATGAGTATAAGTTAACTGGCAACAGAATCAGAACAAACAATCCCAACAAAGTTTCCATTTTTCTGTTCCCATCTTGGAAGATGAGTAGCTCAATCTCAAGATTCTCAACCCTTCTTCCTTTTCTACTCGTTGTTTTACTCTTTGCACCCCCAACAACCCAATCGTTTTTTCTTCCATCAGATGAAGGCAATGATCTGATACAAACAACATGCAAAAAAACACCCCACTATGATCTCTGCCTCTCAACCCTCCAATCAAACCCCGACAGCTCAAACGCCGACGTGCCGGGATTGGCCCGGATAGTATCCGATGCTCTACTGGCCAATGAAAGTGACACACTGGATTACATCCACAGCCTGCTGAAGCAGTCCCCGGAGGTAGATTTGCAGAAAGCATTGGCAGACTGTGCTGAGTTGTACATCCCAGTTGTGATGTTTAGCCTGCCGCAGGCAATTGAAGCATTGGGAAATGGGCACTTTGGGTTTGCAAAGTACGGGATTTCTGATGCTGCAAAGGAGGCTGAGGCATGCGAGAAGGGTTTTGGAGGAGGAGTGAAGTCTCCTCTCACTGATAGGAATGCTCTTGTGGATGATCTTTCTGGTGTGGCTGTTGCCATTCTCAATTTATTAGAGGGTTGATTTTTCCCTATCTTATTATTAGGAAAATGATAAATGATAACCGCACATTCTTTTTCTCCTTTTGCACGCTTTGGTTTTATCTATGTCAATTCTTCTTTAATTTGCTCAATTCAGAGGTTAAAAATAAAAACGAGTGTGCGGAAATCAGTTTCCTAATATTATAGTTAGTATTTGTGTGATGTTGCTTTTCTTGTGTAGTTTTTATTTGTACTTGTAGCTGCTGTTTCAGCCACTGAAATCAGAGTTGTATTCTCTTCATGTTCCTTTGTAGGATAAGATGAGATGAAAACTTTTTTTTAGCTGTTTTGAAGGGTAGGTTTGAAGAAGATCTTATATGGAACGGACTTACTGTTATGTGATATTTTTTATTCAATAATGCATTGTTTTCTCTACATGATAATGTATTGTTGAATCAGAATGCCTTGTGACTGTAAATTCATTTTATGTAAGTTATTCTCGTAGATTTTGAATTGGATTGGGCCGGGTCAAGTTTCCGTAGTGACCCTATGTGGTCGTGTATGGTGCAAGATCGTACGTGGCATGAATGAAGAATGGTGAAGTGCCTTATATGTCATATCTTCATCGTAATGAGGTGTCTAAGGATGAAGGCCCAAGAACATATGAACTCAAATTATAGGTGAAGTTTTTCGTTCATCCATACGATCGAAAATACAGTTTCAAATTAGAATGGTAGAGGAAATTCCATACGCAGAAAGGAAGAGACACATAGAATGATAGAGGACGATAAAGCTTTTTCGCACTTTCTTTAATCCATGAACATGATCGATATTGCAAGGTCGATAATTTGAACATCGAGTGGAAGAGTGTACGCTCTTGCAGATTGTAGCCTAATTTTCTGCTTCACTCGATCAAGATTTGCCATATCCTTGAGAATCGTTTGTGATTTGCATTTATACATGTTGTATCATCTCAAAGATTTCCAGATTAAAAGATTTGGTTACTGTATACATGTGAAGGCAAATGGTATCTTGTGATCAATTGGGACCCTTCCTACTTAATTACAATTATTTGCTGGAAACTCACGGAGCAAATATACTGAGAGCCGCTCGACTGCTAGAAGAAGCGAACACCCTGTGAAATCACATGTTATATGCGGCACCAATGCCTCAAAGCATGTTAAAAGCACACCCTGGCCAAAAACACTTCAACAAAAAGAAAATAAAAAGTTCAATGGGGGAACCTTAGCTTGCTGCATGCACCCTAAGAAACGCAACAGACGCTAGAGTAACAAGTGACACATAACATTGTATTATTGGTCGGAATTCCACAGTTAGGGTTTATGCAAGCTGTTCCAGTTAAATGGGGTTTTCTATTGCCAAGTTTCCAGAATCTTTCCCTTGCTAAAACCGTTTTGTAGCCAAAATGTGTACAAATTACATACCAGAGAATGAAGGGATTCGTATTTAGGTGCAAAAAGAGGCACGCTAGCCTGGCTAACTCGCCTAATCCACGCATTAGCAAAGCATACCTCAAAGAACTAAAATCGACATCTCCATTCTACATTCATGGCATTCCATCCATAGAGGAAACGTTTCTATCTTTGGAGACAAACCAAACATCATAAAACCCCAAATTCATAGATGGAAAATGCTGTTCGGATCAGATGCCTGCAGAACGGTAACAATGCGAATAACGTATCACTTCAAATTCCGGCCAAAATAATGCAGCATTCGAAATGGAAAAGAATCAGATTCGGGTGATTCTCTAGTCGGATAATTGCCACAACTTTATTAGAGGCCAAACCAGTTGCATAGACGGCAACTTTATCAGTATGCATTTGACATCACCTACAAAACACAAAATTGTACTGTAACCTCTCTCTCTCTCTCTCTGTACATACAGGGTATCAATTACCTAGCTAGATTCAGCTTCTGTAATCATGCATACAAAAAAGTGCAAGCATCAATGGCTTGCACGAGGATTCAAAGGCATGTGGAATTTGTTGCTCAACATAGACTAGGCAACAACGTTATAATATCACCCTACCCATCTTTTCAGCTTCTCCTGTGGATCCGAACCAGCAACCTGCTCTACGATACTGCAAGGTGCAATCAAAGTGGAACATTTTACTTCAGACCGTGGAGCCAACATTGTTCATCAAGTTAGAAAAGTGTATATATCGATATTTATTCATATACATGAAGATGCCATAAAAACCAAAAAACAATAAGAAGCATTTTTTACCGAAGATAAAATGAATTTAACATACTTGGGGGACGCAGAACCAGGTTCATTTGATGATGGATTTGGATAGTACTGAACTGAGATCAAATTGCCCTCTGCTCCTCCTGCAGACACTGGAGATCCCTCAAAGTTTACAGGTGAGCTTCTTCTATACGAAATTGCTGCATATAAATGCCAATAGAATGTGAATGTCAAGTAATGGGTAGGAAAAGAAATATTTATAAATCCTTAATACCAAAAAAGGCACCTAGAAATTGTCCAATATAAAAAATTAAAATAAGAGAAAATAACCTTCCACTTCCATCCAAGTGTTTCAAAAGCCTAACTGTTTCAATTTGATAAAGCCTAACGAGAATTAAGTAACTATTTAGTCTCCCTATGATTGTCGACCATATGTAGTTAAGAGATTACAAATATCTGAGATATAATAACCTTATTCGACAAGAAGACGAGCATAGTCTCTTGTTTCCTACTTCTCAGTTCTCACTAACAAAGAAATTAGTATTACACCTCTCAAGAAAACAAAGGCATATCTCATTTAACAATATTGAAACAAATCTAAATAATAGAATAACAAAAATAAGAAAGATAAGGGAAAAGTCTTGGGCTTTAGGGATCTCCGAAACAACAAATGTTGAGAAGCTTATTGAAGGTAAATATAGTTTAATAAATATCTTCAATTGTAATAAGAAACATATACGAACTATTTTGTGAATCACCTTTATAACTAAAACATGCATTGCAGAAACAAACCCATTATTTTTCTGGGAATAACCAAAAGAAATGTTAAAATAAGCATTGATTAGATACAAAAGTTCAAATTGTCAATCACAAAGAGCAAAAGTGATATGCACATCGCAAGTTCACCTAAACAGTTTGAAACTGTTTAAAACCATAAAACAACCAACAAACAAGTTAAGAACTATCAAATACAACAGATCTCGAGTTCAATAAAGAAATATTACCTTGTAAGATTAGCACGAGACAGAAGAGAATGGTGAGCAGCATGGCAAATGTGCTGCTATTGGAAGACGATACCTTAGCAGCTTTCATCTTCTTCAAGGCTTTCATCCGCTCAATCCTTGCACGTTTCCACATGGCAATCTCAGAGAGTTCCTTGATTAACTTCTGGTCCGCCGCATCCAATGATGGGCCTGTTGGAGGTCTGGGAGGTTTAGGAGGCTTTTTATTGTTCGTCTTCTTCCGCTTGTCCTTCACCCATGACTTCTCTACATGATCTATGCACTCATTCCCCTCCAGCACCTTGTTTGTTGCCACCTTCAAGTTAGTGGGGCACACCACACTTGAGTTGGACGCATTGCCACACAAACCGATCCTATCTTCAACTTTAACTGTTCCATCCAACAGTCCGCCACAAACCTTAGCAATTAATGTCTTTGCCTGCTTCTTAGTACTCGAAACAGCGCTATCGCTTGAATCTTCTTCACTAACTACCACCCCATTTTCAAGATCAACTTCAAAGTCCTTTTCCCTCGGACTCTTTTGATCCATTATAATGAACCAAACTCAAGTTAATTGCTAACTCCCTCCCCGGACTCCAAATGCTCAAAGCCACGTTACACCCCTCCCAAATGGAAACAACCAAATTTTGAATCTTGGAGTCAACCCATTAGAAGGAATGGCCTCTTCACAATATATATTATATTCACAGGTGAAACTTGATAACAAATATATCTAGCTTCATCAAACAACAATTTCCAACTTAACTTGCAATTATATCGAAGACAGCTTAATTGAATGCAATTTTACTTGTTTGACACGGCTCGGCGCTTTCCCAAAAGAATAATCAACCAATAAACAACAGTGTCTCCCTCTTTTTTCCTCCCTTTCCTGTCAATCAACAAAACCCTCCAAGCATTAACAACAATACAATATACTAAAAACCCAAATGCAATGTGCATTCAAAACTTGTCGAAAATCAAGAAATTAATCAACTTTATTCAATGCGAATGCGTCTCTCAGATTACAATTGCTTAAATGTACAAATTTAAGATTAAAAAGCAATGCTAAAATGAATCAAACCTGATCAAACAAAACTACATAATGAAAGATTAAGCAAAACCCATCAAAACTACAGCAATCGACACCCTTTATTATGCATCGCCATGAAATTTAACATTGTTTTCGAAAACCCAAAATTCAAAAAATTAAGAAATGATGTAAAAAAATGCAAAAACTAAAGAAAAGGGAGAAAAGGGAAAGTAGAAACCTTCAAAAGAAAGCGAAGAAGCCCCAGATCCGATGCGGAGAAAGAGCTTAAATCGAAGATAGCGTCAAATATGGAAGCTTCAAGTGCTAATTAAAGAGGGTCAGAGTGAGAAGAGAGGAGAGAGAGAAGGGGGGGGGGGGGGTAAGGGGAGGGAGGGAGGAGAGAGAGAGGAATAAGGGAACGGACACGAGTAGTTTTAGGGGGATCACCGAGAAAGTGCAGGGCTTTTATATAATAAAATCAAATTTTGATTTCTGATATTGTGGCGCTATATCTTCGTCGGTTAAATACCACCGCAAACGACGCGCATCTGATGTCTTCTTCTTCCTCTTCCTCGCCAGCTTCACCGACACTTGCATGCCATTTTTTGAATCTTTGACTTTTCTTGTGGGGTTTTTCTTTATTTTTTTATTTTTTTTATTTTAAATCATTTTGGATTATATTTGGACCAATTAAGGTTGGCCTTTGTGATTAATGATAGGGAAGGATTATCAAACGTTCAGATCAAGTGATCCAGACATTTAAATTTGATTCAATAGTTATAAATAGGAGACTTTCTAAAAATTATAATAATTATAATCGTTGAATTAAATTTCAATAGTCCCGATCATTTGATCATGGACCTTTGATGGGAGAGATTCGGAATTATAAACAGACTTTTTATTTTGAAACAAAGTGATGATCTTTATTGATTTTATAATTTGATTAGCATTTAAATCATGGAAATGGGTATATGCTATACAATGTTTGTGGAATATTCTTTTGTTAGAAAGTCAGTTAAGTTTACTTGTATGCATATTAACGACAAAACGTATTAGAGCGTGTCTGATTATCCCATTAATCTTGTAATGCTAAGTTTAGGATTATATGGAGTTATGTAACTTTACCCTTTACCTAAAAGACATCGTTAATCTCATCTCTTTTTTACCAAATTCTCCTTTTTAATGGTAAAATCTCAATGCCAAAGACGCTTTACAACAGTGTCGGAAAATAATTTATATTTATGCATTCTAGTACGGGTTTGATCTTCACTGACCCTACTCCCATAACAACTAACAAATGTTGGGAGACTATCTTAACGAAAAATTCTTTGGTACTTGTATGAAAAGTAACCATCTCAATTATAAGATTAATTCAACAAGGTGTTTCACATACCGCGTCAATAATGGTATCTACAACTAAGAAAATATACACTTTCTAAATGAAAATTATTTATTTTTGTAGATGACTAAGTATTATTTATTTGTTATACTTATACACCGACGATAGTTGCAATGAGAAAAAAAACGAACATAAAACAATAAATAGACATGAAAAGAATGTTCTTAACAACGTAAGTTATGCATACAAAGTTTTAGAATGGGTAACTATGAAAAAACCGCTTAAGGCCCAAAAACAATAGTCATTGTCCAAATATTTGAAAATGAGCTCAAGTTCTTCGTATATTTGAGAATGACTTACCTACACCCTCAAAACCTACATCATCATTGTCACTTGAACCAATAAACATGATAATATGTGTTTTAAGTTTTTCACGTGCGCTCTTATATGATGGATTTAATTATAGCACCGTGACTTTACCATCTTTGTTTCATATAATTTATTTTCGAGTGATGATAAGAACGTTGTAAAGACAAAGACAACCACATATAGTCTGGCTGGATTGGGATTTGAGGATTGAGACTCCGAATTTCAGGCAGTCCTCCAATCCATACGATTCAGAGAAGAATCCCTGCTGAGTAGTGCTGTCACCAAAACTTGATGAACAGAAGAAGATAAAAATGGAGGGAGAGGGATGGGTTATGGGGTTGGCCAACCATCTCACTCACTCACCCACTCTCTCCACGCCCACGATCTCCACGTGAATTAAAAATGGTGACACCCATTTTGTCTATACGTGGAGTTTTTTTTTATTTTTTATTTTTTATTTTTTTATTTTATTTTTTTATTTTTAATAATTATGTGAAGTTGATCCGTTGATAATTGAGTTTATGTCCCATCGTTTACCATAGAGGACCCATTAGCAAAAGATACGAAACATTTATATGGACTTTGTGCTCCCTCATGCATGGTGCATGCGTCGTTTAGGCGGGTGATTCCCCACAATCATACAAACATGACGATAAAATCTTCGTGTCATTGATTATAACCTGAATCTAATTATAAGTTTATCTTTTTTATCACGTGACTAGACGATAACATATATGATATATCAAGTTAATAGTATAAGTTGCTTACACATATGTTTGACATTTTACGTTTGTGTACAATCATGAGTTTATCTTTCTTGTGATATGACTAGTCACGTGATGAGAGAGATATGTAAGAGAAAATTGAAGAAGCGGAAATGAGGAACTTGGGAAGGGAGAAGGGGTCTCGAGATCATCTCCGCTCATGCTCCTATTTGTAGTTGTACTCAACTAATTACGCATACGCATTTCTCATCAGTACCTACCTTTGGTCCAAACCAAAACAACTTATATATGTAGTAGTTGATGACAGGTTTTTGTTGAAGTTAGTATAAGCTTCTTTTGCCGGAGTACTATTGTTGTAGCAGTTGATAAGTTTTGCTTCTCATCAGTACCTACCTTTGCTTCTTTTACAATGATATGAAAAGGTTAAGAAAAATGGTTGTAATCCTCAGCCATTTTTAGGAGTCAAAGGGTCAACGTAAGAATCTGTTTGGACAAACATTAAAGAGATTTTCTTAAAAGTGGGATTTTTTTATGGACTTTCTATCTTATATTTTTTGCTCAATATTTTATATGACACAAAAATTAACGTTAAACTGTAAAATGACAAATAATTTATATAAAATCTCACTTTTAAGAAAATCTCGTTAATATTTCTCATATGTTAAAACTACACTATCAATCCAAACAATGGTGCATATGAGTTAGGCCCCCTGAATATGACACGTAACTAAATAGGCACGTTCACTTGCCATCAAAGTTTGGTCCATTCATTTCTCTTGGAATACACTACAGATTTGCATTTGGCAACACAGGTCAAGTCATGTATATTTTGGATTTGTGTCGAATACTATACCTTAAATTTGTTTTTCCATGAGGTAAGATAACTGTACAATAATCCAGCTCATTTATCATATTAGTCTTATCATCTTCATTGGTCCATGCAAACCCCTATGATGAAGAGATTTTTCAATATATACAAACAAATCAGAATGTCCTACGTCATGTATTATAACACAAGTAGAGGATATTTAAAAAAAATATTCTTTATTTATTTATATTATGACACGTAATATACTGATTTGTGTTTTTGGTATATAGAAAAATTTCTACGTATAATGAGTTAGTCATAACTTGGTATCGAACACATCATCTATATGAGTCAAACTAAAACTTGTTCACTTACAAGTGATGATGAAACACTAAAAATCGAACTTGAAGCGTCTCATTTACAAGTGGATGTGAAGCACTAGACAACATCAATTGATATATAGGCATCTAATCTCTAGCATATGTTTTTTTAGCCAAATTGGTTTTTGACATTAACATAACTCCTCACTTTGTTTCCTGAAATTTAAAATCAATAGAAGTGACCATTGAATTTGTCCACCGTCAAACATGTTGGTCATTCTATGAGAAACTCCATTAAAGTAGACCGAAATAACAAAATACCCTTAAATTTCGTCAAACTATTTTGACAGATTGTTTATTAAATTGAAGGTATTTTTGATATTTTAATCTTGATTTAACAGAGATTTTATACGAAATAACCAATATAATTGATGGTAAAGAAACTCAAGCATTGCTTATATCGATTTCAATTTTTAAGAACCAAAAAGATGAGTTATATTGAACCAAAGAGATGAGTTATGTTGACTAAAATGTCGAGCGAGCTTCGTGATAAAAAGCAGTCGCCATTCACCACCCTCACACTAACACCCACGTGCGGCCGATACATATTCTCTCCGCGGCCCTTGAATATACTGAGGCTTGGGCCTCTTATCTCAGGTACCATTCAAAGGCGGATTGGCCCATCAAAAAAGGGAGTTGGAAACCACAATTGAAATTCTAACTGTTGTGATCCTTTGATATTTGAAATTTATCAACTTAAGCAGAAATTCATGTTGGTTTATCGACAGAAATTTTACTAAAAACAGAGTACACTACAGTTCAACCCGAAATCTAAAAGCACTGCACAAATTGACACAGACTAAAACTTGAAGATAGCAGCACCGCTCGACGGCTTGGAAGCAAAAACATATAGGCCGAGATCGTTATTGTTTATGACGCCTTTGTCAATTCGCGACTGGTAGAAGCGTTCCTGATGCAGATAAAGAACCGCAAAGGATATTTAGGTTCAACAAAATAAACAAACAAAATCGACAACGGAGGAAAGTACCATTAAGGATGTTAGCAGATGTGCAAACCTTTAAGTTGAGGATAAATTGTGGGACAATACTATCTTTTACCAAAGCAACTGCACAGCCGCCCCATCCAGCTCCCGTAAGCCTTGCCCCAAGAGCACCATTCTCCCGACAAATATTTACAAGTTCTTCCAACTCCGGACAGCTAGTTGATTGAAAACGAAAGATGGTAAAGATAAGATTGATAAAATTTACACGATGTGATCAATTATTATTGCGAGTGTGTGTCAGTAGTGTGCACGTAAATTCGAGGGAGATCAAAAATATAAATTTGTACCTGCACTCATATAACACACTGCAGCTGTAGTGGCTATCATTCATAAGATCCCCAAGCTTCTTTAGCTTATCCTCATCACTGCAAAAACAGTTCCAGTGTTAGAATAAAACCTTGTATTTGTTCCCGCCACTAACAAGTTCTATATCGTACCTTAACCGCACCCTAAGCTACCACCACATACAAAATTCCCATGTTTACTAAAGAGAACATAGAGTTAAGTTTAGTACCGATATGCCAATTCCATTCTATATCTTAAGCCATATTTACTGCATCATGGGTAGGGGTAAAAGAGTTCAAATGAACTAAGATAGTACACCACTGGCTCTAGTAACACGTGCTATCTCTCCCTACTTATTAAATGGTGGTAGGTCTCGAGTTTAAACCCTGAGAGGGGTACGATATAGAAGGGGGAATGCTATCCCCTTCTAGTTCTAGTAACCAACAGATTGGCACTTCCGCAACTAATATACAAACCTTACTGTTGATGAGACGGTGTCCTTGAAAGCATGTACCCGCTTGGCTTCAGAGTACACATGAGAGGCTCTCTGGTAAACAAGAGTTTTTCAACATTAAATCAAAATTTCCAATTTTTAAGAAAATAATCGACAAATTTAGCAATGACTCGATATAGGTAACAAAAGAAGTACCTGAGATAACTTGAAGTTCTTTGCAACGTTCAAAACATCCAAAGAAGACGAGGAATCTTTCAAGATAGAGGGCAGACTCTCCCCAAGGATTTCCTCTATTTCCCCAGCTGTATAAGGTTCTTCTTTTAAATTCTCCTGTAGATAAAGACAAAGTGTTATTTAAATGATATAGATAGGGAAGCGATTAATATAAACCTACAATGAAAAGAATCAAATGTATCAAGCACCGATTGACAAAATTTTGGTAGGCAATGAATAAAACTACCTTTACAGCCACGACAGGATCTGTTGACCCACGAGTACTAGCAAATGATATGCACAACTCTTCAACGTCGGAAAGAGTTTTGACACTTGATATTGCCTCTTGCGGTTTCATCCCCAACTTTATCCCAAGCACAATCTAAAAAAGTTTCCGAGTCCACAATGTGAGTACACAATATTTCCGACAAAAAAAATTAGTACACCCTTCTTGTGAGCTGAAAACCCAGGTTGATATTTACCCCCTGTATTAATAGCTCATAAAAGAATTTAGGATTTGGAACATAAGTTTTGGGTCGAAGACCAAAATATATCAAACTTACAGCAGCCAGACGACATTCAACAACTCGGTTATTGTAATTTGTGGCAGCAGTTACTGCTTTCTGAGAATCTGCCAAAGAATTGGCCACAACAAAAGTCCCACCAGCCGGAAGTTGCACATCAGTAGCACGAACAGGGTTAAAATCAATTAGTTCTGCAAACCCAGTCTTGGCCATCACAGAGATTGCCTGCAATTTGAACCAATATCAGGACAAACAGGTGCGTGACAGATATCGGACTCAAATTAATCGAAAATGATAAAATTATCGGACCTGATCCATTCCACCAGATTGTGTGCCAATGTGACGCTCACACTCGCACGTAAGTTGGGCAACCACTTTCTGCTCACAAGAAACAATGTCAACATTGGAAACTTATCTATACAATATGTATAGCACCGGCACACAGACCACTAATATACCTTGGGGAAATTCACATCAAAAGCAGCCATTATTGCAATCGTAGAAGCACAAACTAATGCAGCAGAGCTCGATAGTCCGGAGCCTATGCAAAACAATAAATCTCAAATTTTACTCCACCATATGAGAAACTAGTTGCCCTGTACTTATATATAGATATTATCAATCTAATCAACCTTAAAATTTACAACATTAATTGATGGGAAATGCACCTGTAGGAACTGTTCCATCAATAAGAACATCAAGTCCAACTGGTCTAACATTTTCTCCCTTCGATTTGGCAAATTCGTAAAAACCTTTGTACCTGAACAAAAACATAAACCAATCACTTTCTGCCGTACATTCAGAAACTGATAGTTTTAACGTTTGAACATCAAATGTTTTCATCATCAAACAAAAAGAACGGAAAAAAACTAAATTTAGCCAAACATACAGATCAAAGCATGGATTTTTATGTCTTACCCACAAATGAAATAGTGCCCCCATTTGTGATTCTTCAAGTCAATTTCCTTCAACCACCAGAAAAAGTTAAAAAGTCAAAAACTTTGACTAAAATTGCACACCGATATCAACGGGGATGATCAAGTCAAACAATTTGGTACCTGGGTCGGGTCGGCGGGATAAGTGCAAATTTGGTACTTGTCGCTGACATTGGCGATTCTGAGAACTTTCTCGGTGTCTCCGTCGTCGCGCTTCCGAATTGCGACAATGGTGTCCTGTCGTATGGCCATCGGCAGCACCGAGTAGCCCTCGTAGTCTATGTGCTCTCCGATCAAGTTCACTCTCCCTGAATCCACCGTCCGATCACAAATTCAAACACGTGCACAAAATCGAAAACTGAAAAATCCCCGAGAGAGAGAGAGAGAGAGAGAAAGAGAGAGAGAGGGACCTGGCGAGCGAGCGAAGAGTTGGGGAGGGTGACCGAAAACGTGCTGGAACTTGGACTTCATCCGGTTGAATCGGAGCTGGGTCTCGTCGAGTTGGGAGGAGTCGCCGTAGACGGCGTCGAGGGTGTCGTGAATTGGGATGGGGAGTTCTTCGTGTTTTGCCATTTGTGCCATCTACTTGATTACCCGAACCCTCTGCAACCACTTAAAGAAAACTCAAAGCCCCCCGTGACGGCGACGGCGACGGAAGCAAACAAAAACTTAAAATTATCTAATTATTATCGAATAATTAATAATTAGACAATAATTTAGGACACTTTGGGATTCGGATTAAGGATGAAGGGGAAGAAATAGGAGCGAGGAGTCGGAGGAGTCGGAGTTTTAGAACCCGCTAGTTAAGGAAGAAGATATTTTTATGGGGACGAGAATTAAGGAAGGAGATAAACAACCTAGTAAGATTAAGATTTCGAAGTGGTTTTACAGCGCGAATCTGAGACCTTGATGGGTAGTTACGTGGGATTTGGATAATTCTGGATTCAGATATAGAAGTGCTCGTTGTCGTTTCGGATTGGTTTACTCGTTTTTTTTAATATATATTTTTGGAATTTTTATTATTTTATTTTGCAGTTACATTACGTGGGGTGAGGTCCAACTGCTGCCGGTACGCTTTTTACGGTGTGCGCGGCGAGGCACGGGCAGTGCGGTGCCGCGGAGGGGTGGCGGGCAAAACAACAACAATCCTCATATTAATACAAGGGTTATTAGTTTGAAATGCCCATTGAAATTCTCATTGGGTCTCATTTCACCCGCTGAAACTGACAATTTCAATTTTTTTGTCTCACTTTATCCACTTCGGTTAATGGATTCTTAAATTTAAGAGTATTTTAGATATTTCACTTTTTATACATTTATTTACCTTTAGTCCTCACACTAAGCAAGTCTCAATTTTATTTTTAACAACTCTAATTCAAATGCATAAATTTTGAGCATTTTTAAAAATAAATTATCCAATCAATAGAGAAATTCTGAGCAACAAAATCATTGTATCAACCAAATTAAGGGTTACATTTGTTCATAAGTCATTTCACTTACAAGATATCCATGTATTAGCTCGAAACTTTGCAATTGAAAAATATTCATTACAACAAAATCATTATACCATTAAGCTATCCTATCCAAAATACTTCCCAAACCAAAAAAAAAAAAAAAAATCATTTTAAAGCAAATGTGCATACTTTAAACAACCTCATGCCCAGTGGAATGAGTGACACACTCCGAAACGACCTGTGCTGACCAACACTGGAAAAGTGACGAAACCATAAAATGTGATGATGTGGAAAATGTGAATAAATTAAAACTTAAAAGTGACTAAATGTAAAAGTGTGCATGTGAGCAGAATTGAACTCATTTCACACGTGATGTTAAAGCATACGTAAAGTACAATAAAATTAGGATAATAAATATACCATCGGAAGTGATTTCTGATACCAACTTTTGTCAGGAATCCTCGTCACCACAACAGTTTTTCCACTAAAACCCGGAGGGATGAAAAACAAGGGTGAGTCGGCCTGAAAAATAAAGTTTGTAAACCATTTTCGAAAAGTGTAACCCCTCGCTGTAAAACAAATATATCGTTTCCCAAAAATATTAAAATAATAGTATGTAATAGGTATCTTGCAGCACAAGTGAGCTAAAGGATGTAGGCACAACAACAAGGTATATCAACATCAAATCTCAATTCGTTATTACAAGAAATCAATGCTCGTTAATTTATGTAGGCACACAAGTCCATTGGAGAGTTATTCAAACAATGGAACAGGTTGGGTGTAGGTTTTACATTATGGTAATGCATCATGTGAGTTGAGCTAGTCCCATGACTAGGGGTGGTTCGGTATGGGATACCATACCGAAACTAGTATCCCGAATCTCAAACCGAAATTTTTCGGGACGGGAATTTGAAGACCAATCCCAAACCAAATTTTCGGGAATCCCAAATTTCGGGAATCCCGAAATATTTTCGGGATTTTTGGGACAAATCGGGAATCCCAAATTGAAATATGAAATTATGAATTGTTCTTCAAATATATAATTCAAGAACACATTCATGAACTAGGAATTTCATTTCATTCACACTACCATTTAATTGAACACTGGCATGCTTGACTCTTTTTATCATAGTCAAAATTCAAATTAATTAAACCCTTTTTGCAATCTGTTGAGAGACAAAAGAATCAAGCCTTCTGAAATCATCAGCCATGGCAGCAGCAATAATAAAATCCACATGAATATCAAACAGAACATGAAAAATATGCAAGGTGTAGGGCATTCTAGGTTGCTGAGCATGAATTAGAAACTACTAGCATCAATTATAAAAGAATAATATATATATATATGTATAAATATATATAATAATTAATATTATATATTTTCGGTTTGGTATGGGATTCCCGAAATATCGAGAAGCCAATCCCGAATCCCATACCGAAATTTTGGGATTGGTTTGGGATAGCATCTCGAAAATTTCGGGAATTTCGGTTTGAGAAATTTTTGGTTTGGGATCGGGATTTTTTCGGTTCGGTTCGGGATTTTCGGGAATTTTTTCCACCCCTACCCATGACAGTACAAATAACTAAGAGACATCTTGCAAATACGTAATAATGGGCAGATAAAATGCAAAAATATCATGCCAGAAGTTTATGCTCACAAATAATATGTACGAAAAGTCTATTTGTAAAGCTAAACATCACATATCACATCATAATATATAAAAGCAGTTGTTAGGAAAAATCACATATATATATATATAAACGAAAAGACCTACTCACAAATACATGTAGGTCATAAATCGTCCAACTATTTTGCATGCGGTACTCCTCTGGATGGTCCTCTCCTATATGGGAAATTACTACACTAATTAATAAAATAATAATAATAATTAATGTAATAAATCTAATTTTCTTTAGTTTGCTCAATAACAGAATTGTCGTCGGAAATTTGGAAAGAAATTCAATTGCCCCGTTTGAAGTCGTTACACAACCGAATTTGACCTATAATATATCAAAACGAAGCTTAGGACGAGAGAAATAAGATTATACCTATTTTAAGGTCAAAAGATGGCCGGAGCTCGTTGGAAAATGCCCTGAAAGTGACTGCCCGAGTTGGAGTTCTTCGTTTTCATCGGTTTCGAAGTGGATTCGAGCATGCAAGCTCAAACCCGTGGTCTAGGGGTCAAGGGAAATCGTCATGTGCCTTCAACTCAACTAAACCAACGGGGTTTGTCCGGATTTTGCTTGGGAATCCTACGAACTTTGACAGAAAAATAGAGTGAGGAAATTTGTCCTTCAAATGCACTGAAAAGTGCAGGTGTGTTAGTAAAATATACTGGAAGGTCAAGGGAGAGCTTCAGGATGGAAATTCTGAGCTTACCATGGTCAGAGGAGTGAAGGTTTCGTCGGCGTTCGTCGATCCTCGAAGAGTGGACCTTGTCTTCCTATGGGTTTTCTTGCAACCAAAGGTTGAGGACGAGTTGCAGAGAGTCCTAGGAAGTTTTTGGAAGAGTTTGGGCAGTGTTGGTGGTGATAAGAGATGGTTGCCTGGGTTGTCCGAGAGGAAGAACAGAGTGCAGGGAAAGGAAACGCTGCATGAGAGAGATAAGAGAGGAAATGAGATATAGTCTGTGAGTTGTGAGGTTGAGTGAATTTAGTGGAAGGAGAGAGAGTGACGTGATGGTTAATGTGGGAGAGCGTGTGTGAGAGTAATGATGACAATTGCGGTTGTGTGAATTGATAGAGAGGAAAAGAGAGAGATGAGAGGGAACCGGCCAAAATGGGAGAAATAGTGTAGTGTATTTTTCAGTATGACCGGCATATAAGGTGGTACATCATATGTCATTATATAAATAGTGGGATTTGTGTGTCAGAAAGTTAATAATTAAAAAAAAAAATTTCATCACTTACATAAAAACAAATGAGGTACCATTCGTGTTCTAATTACAATTAAAAATTTTCCGTGAAGGAACAAGTGGGAGAGAAAGAGGGTATTAAGAGTGAAAAAAAGAAAGTGAGAATTTGATGAATAGGGTGGGGTTTTTTTTTTTTTTTTTTGTCGAAAATCAAATATTATTAAAGATGAATTGGGATGTTTACATCAGAAGCCAAAATGTTAAATAGCCATTCTGGCTGAAAGCGATTCTACATATGATACCCTCCCACACGCGTAGCATAAGAAGTCACTTGATGCACAACCCTATTACAAACACGAGAAGTAAATAAAAACTCAACAGAACTCAAGTGTTGTCGAATATGGTGAATATCCCATAGGATACCCTTCATCGCTGCCTCCGGAGCCAAGACTTCATTAAGCATCTCCACCAGGACCTTTGAATCTGTCTCCAACTGAACAACCCCGAATCCTTTGTTCCCATCAACGCCGATCTCATTGCTTCCGCTTCCGCCTTCAAACTAGAGCCACATATTAAATTACCCCTACCTCCAGCACCTTGAAAGATCCCAGCAAAATCCCTGGCAACCCACCCAAAGCCACCCACACAAGTTTGCTTACACCAGGCCCCATCACAAATTCACCTTGATAGGACGAGGACCATCCGACAGTCCACCTGATGTTCAAAATTTCTAGACCATGCATGGATTTGGTCTACACGAGGACCATCTGACAACAAAAACTGAATATAGTCAGTTGTCACAAATTTCCGTGGTGCAAAATTATCATTTTGCTCTCGATTTTGAAACGTGCATAACTTGCTAGTTATAACTCTGAATTGAGTTCCGTCTTCAGCCACGTGTTTGTACGAATGAATATTGTTCATAATTAGTTAAATAAGAGTGAAAAAGTGAAAGGAAAAATTGAGGTCCACTTGGAAGGCCTACATGGCATTTCAAGGGCATTTTGATAATTTTACTACTACTGATAATAAAATACAATAAATCTCGGGACAGGATGTCACAATTAGTGCTCAACAATGTGATTTTTTTTTTGTTTCAAACTGTGCACATTTTATTTAAATGATTTTTTTTGGTTTTGGAAGTATTTTGGATAGGATAGCTTAATGGTATTATGATTTTATTGTAATGAATATTTTTCAATTGCAAGTAAAATGACTCTACAAACAAATGTGTAAAAACTGAAATATCTAAAATACCCTTAAACTTAACAGATTAACAAAAGTGGGTAAAAGTGAGACAAAAAAGTTGAAAATGTCAGTTTCAAGGGGTAAAGTGAGATAAAACCAATTTTAGTGGGTAAATTGAAACTCAGTGGCAATTTCAAAGGGCATTTCGACTAATAAGCCTTAATTCAATTCTATGGCTTACTTTTTGTCATACCCATTAAAATTTCACTGATTTTACTTTGCAGTTTGAAACTAAATCAACGTCATTCTGTCATCTAAAACTCAACTTTTTTTTGTCACTTTGTCAGTTTTCGTGGAAAAATCCGTTAAATCTCTAACTTGGCATAATCAGGACCTATTTATTCCTCCTGTGATTCCATGTCATTGTCATGTATACAACATAATATCACAAAGTAGTTTAATATTTTTGGAATTGTTGTTTGCATTCTACATTTTTTACAAATATATATATATATATTTTTTTTTAATTATAAAAAATTTGGAATACAACATTAAATTTTTAGAATGTCGATAATAATCTCATTTTCTTTAAATAATAAAAAAAAAAAACAAAAACAAAAACTCAAACTCTTTCTTCTTTCCCTCCCCTATGGCATTCTGATTACAATGCCAACGACCAAAATCAACCCGTAATTTTTTTTTGTTCTCTCTCTAGTGGCGCATCTCTACCAACAAGAGCCAAGAGTAATTTGTCCTCGATGCCCACGTAGTAGTCAAATCATGGAGAATACATTCCAACTAGAAGCCAATTTGGAAATTTGATTCCAAAAATATATCCGCTAAACCAATCATCTAGGGACTAGAAGCTATGAGAATACAATCCAAAATTATCTTCATACACCTTAGCAATTGACGGTTGATAAGTACAAGCCGACGCGACCATAATATACACATACCGGCGAACATTAGCATGTCGAGAGTTAACAATATGCCTAAAAACTACCAAGTTTACGACACATCATTCATCCAAACACTGATCCAAATACTCTAATTTTCATCAATGCCCGCCCCAACTGATATCATCCAATCCCTTTTCCTAACTAGTGAGTTAATACTTACAATCCCAAGGCATCAAAATGCGAACCTTTCAGCCTCTTCATCTTCATCTTCGTCTATACCGTCCTCATCTTCGGTGAACATCTCATCTTCCTCTTCAACTTGATCTTCCTCGTCCTCATCCATCATGGCTTTGCCCCTCTCACCTTTGTCCTTCAAACCAGTGCTCAAGACCACACTTTCTCCCCCGGACTTCTCCATATCCTTCCTCAACTTCTCCATGTTCTCCTTTCTGTGTTCCTCCTCCAAACGTTGCTTCTCTGCCCGTCTTTTGTCCAGATCAGCCCTACACAAGCAACAAATTGTGAAAACTAGATCAATTATGCACATCCATATTCCGTGGCAATGTAATATATGGTGAAGAAAAGTTGGTTGTTGAAGTTCAGGCCTTACTTATAGCTGTCCATGTACTCCTCAGCACTAGCTTCAACGGCCTTAAAGAAATCCTTCATTCCAGCACCAGAAACCGCAGAAACTCCAACAGACCGCAAGTTCTTATAAAATTCATCCAGCATAAGGGAGAGGCTCTGAGCTAAATTTGAAGAGTATGAACTATCTGCACTCACTGCTGCTTGAAACGTCTCAAAATCCTCCATCCACTGCATCAACAGCAGTTTTCAAGAGAAAAATAACCAAAAACGAAAAATTATTTCATATTTAACCAAAAACGAAAAATTATTTCATATTTAATTACACACTTAAAAATCAAGAAAATTTTGAGGCTTAAGTTAGTGGAGGTGAAAGTTGAGACAGCTTGGTTATCCAGAAAGTACATTGAACTACAGTTCTTCTATATAAATTTTGATTTTTGTATCATATCAGTCAAACTACTAAAATGTGGACATATAAGAATTAAAAATGGTATTCCAACTATTGAATCATAATAATATGAATAGTGAAATCAGGCTAAATTGTCAAGTAGAATTCTTGACAACAGAACCGGTTGGACAAGATCAATTCCCCTAGAAAAATAAGTTAAATAACGTAAAATAACCTCCACGTTGTGTTGTGTTCTGCTCACCGTTACTCATAGACTTCTCATGACAGACTGCCTCTATAAACATTTTTTCTCCATTTTTTTACATCAATTTGGTAATTTAAACTTGAAACCTGAGTTTGAGACAGATTCCACTACTGAGCCCTAGCAATATATTCGGGAACCATCTACTGCTAATTTAGTGGGAAACCAACTCCAATTGTGGTTCCCTTAAAGCTTCCAGACCCACCAAATTCAAGTATATTCAAAGTGAGTATGTCATTGAAGTGCTTAGGTATAGGGGGGGACGACCGCCGAATTTACATCAGAAATGGGTGTCAGTCTATGTCAGCATGCTCTGTTGTGCTTGCACTCGCACACATATTACATATCTAAAGCATACCTCCAAAGCAAACTGATGTTGAGCCACATCAATCTTGTTGAATGCCAACACAAGAGGTAACCTTGTCTTGTAAAGGATACTACAAGCATAAAGCATGTTGCTCATAAAAGTAACCGGGCTAGCTGAACGAGGCGTATCTACCACATAAGCAATTACAGTAGGAAACGTTGATGCAAATGCTTCTGTGATGATAGCACCAGAGGCAGACCAAGTGAATATCTCAATCTGACCCGGAGTATCCACAAGAACATAATCAAGCTGATGCGCTCGCTTCTCAATGACTGAAACAACCTGAAATTGGAGATCATGATTATAATTTCATTTTGAATAAGTGAGAGAAACAGAGAATGATACAAGCCAAAGCATGAGCTACAAGAACCACTTTAATCAAACAAATCGAACGATTATTCCTAAAAATGCAATCAATGCTTATGTGTGGATGAGTCAAATAAAAACAAAACAGCACCAAGTCTCATTACAAGACATCCTGAACGTTCTACAGAATGAAATTATTTAAGACAAAGATTCACAGGCAACGTTTTACCTCATCAAACTTGGTAGCAAACAAGTTGAGTGAAGTCAAAATCCCCCCATTTGGTCCAAGATTGAATTGCTTCATCACCTCCTTGTACCGAACGGTATCCCTTATGTCAATATTTGCGCCAAACGGTAAAGTCATCACAGCTGGGTCAAGGTTCATCACATAGCCACGAATGTCGGATTCACGAGTGTGTGAAACCAACTGCTGCATAAAGGTTGTCTTACCACTCCCTAATCAAAACCCACAACACATTACCATCATTCAACTTCAAGCACTCACAAATAACATAACTCCACCAAATTCAAAACCGAAATGAATCAGGTAGAACGACCACATTGCTATAATAAACAAAGAAACCCCAATTAAATTCTACGCAATTACCTGCCATGCCCACCACAATTATAATGACAGGTTTTCTCTTGAAATTGGACCCTGACTGCCCTGACGATGATTCCTCAACTTGCAGTTTCTTCATCGAATCAGTAAGTTCCTCATCTTCTTTGCCCTTATTCAGAACAAATCAAACAAATCCCAGCTTATTCCAAAAAAAAAAAATACCCAACTTAATTCAAACAAGTTAGAACAATGACT